CCGAGGTCCCTTCCAACTCTACGATCAAGTCATTCTATGATTCTATGTTCAGTCTCTAGCATCTCCAGTTGGGGCTGGAAGAGAACCTTGTCTGAAATCTTGGAAAGCTGCTGCCCGTCAATGTTGACATTACTGCGACAGATGGACCAACGGTCCAAGGTCCCAGAGCGCTTAAGAGCAGCCCTGTGGGATCGTACCAAAAGCCTATCCAGTCCAGCATTGTTGTTCACACATGGGTCAACCATATGGCAATGGGAAGCATTCCTTCTGGCAGGGAGGAGGGAAGTAAGCTCCCTGCAGCTGCTCCTTCTTTGACCAAGAGCTAGAGTCAAATGGTTCTCTCCTTGCCATTGATGTCTCCTTGGGAGGAAGCAGGTGCAATCTCCCAGTGGCCCTTACTCCTCTTGCCAACAGATGGGACCAGAATGTGCTTCCCAGTGGCTAAGTATTTTTTAATGGCAACAAGAGGGGCAGTTCCCCCCCACCTTCATTGATAATTTCTTTCCTTTTTGTAACAAGTAAGCCAAGAAGATAAAGCAAGTCAGCACACTGTGGATATATTTAACTAATTAGGCTTGTGCAGTAAGAGACAGCCAACGCAGAGACATAAACAGTCCCTCCAACAATGTTGGCTGGGACTCAGCTTAGATTCAGTAAGAATTCAAACAGTGCCAGGGAAAACAGCATTTATATAATCATACTCCCATGCCACAATCACATTGCATATTCCTAAAAAGCAAGTGTCATAATGTTGGCAGGCCACCATAGGAAAGCAGAATAGGAGCAGGATGATTCTGCAGTTGAAGTGGAATATACTTTTGCCAGCGCAATTATAATATTTTTAACATGGGGGAAGAACCTGAGGTTGCAAAACTGAATTTAAATTAGAACTTTAATGACTCTGATTCCGCACATTAAAAGTTAATATTGTAACCTGCTATAAATAAAATAAAAAGGAAATTAGAGGTTGAAGTGCAGGTTTTTTTTAAAAAAAAAGAATAAAAATACCTGAGCTAAGATCATCAATGTTCAGTTCCACAGTTCCACAGTAGTTACAAAAGCAGGCTTTAGATCTCCTCAAACATCTTCCACACCAGGGCTGAGGAACATTTTTCACTTGAACAGCCACATCCCCTTACAGTGGTACCTCGGGTTACATACGCTTCAGGTTACATACGCTTCAGGTTACAGACTCCGCTAACCCAGATATAGTGCTTCAGGTTAAGAACTTTGCTTCAGAATAAGAACAGAAATCATGCTCCGGCGGTGCGGCGGCAGCGGGAGCCCCCATTAGTTAAAGTGGTGCTTCAGGTCAAGAACAGTTTCAGGTTAAGAACGGACCTCCGGAATGAATTAAGTACTTAACCTGAGGTACCACTGTACTAGAAACATTCCAAGGGCCACATGTGAGTGGTGGGCAGGGAAAGAGAAAAAATAGATGGAGCAATGCATGCAAAGTTTGCTTTTTTTACAGTTAGTTAGTTTCCACATTCACTTGCACATACCTTCCATTCAGGCAAGTAAGCATTCAAGGACATCTTCCAGCGAAGCAAAAACATTCAAGGAGGACACTGAGCAGGGGCAGTGAAGAGCATGGCCTTAAGAAAGGTTGTGTAGCTGAGGATAGTACCAAGGGCCAGGTAAAGAGTTCTGGAGGGCTGCATTCAGTCCCCCAACCCTGCTCTTCAGAATATTAGCTTGAACAGTAACATAGAAATTACATTTTGGGGAATTAAAACTAAGCATCCAACAGAATGGCAATATTCATCCTTACTTCCCTTGTGATTGCTTTGGAGTAAAAATAATAATAAGTTAGGCTGAATAAATTCTTACCTCTCACAAAGAGCTGGGTGTTTTTTTTATTATTATTCCAAACAGTCACTGCTGCAGTTCACCACAAGCCACCTAGCATTGTAGTCAATAAACTCTCACACAGTAGCTCTTATTCTTTTATGCAAAAATGTAGATGACAAATCTTTTTTCTAGGTAGCCTAGAGTGACTAGTCCTTTCTTATCATAATGTTGTCATAGTGACAGTGACATCAAGGAGCATAGCAATTTGGCTAAAAATAAGTAAATAAAATTGTTGATTCCAAAAGGAATGCTACACAATGTTCCTTCAGTGTTTAGACATTTCTGCATTGCTCCTCACATCTTTGTTCAGATACTACAATTATTAGTGAACCTTTTAAAGTTTTTTGTTAAAATGAAAAATAAGAACATAAGAAGGCTGCTGGGTAACACCAAGGCTGCATTCACTTTATTCCATTTCCTCTGTGTTTCCTGACCAGCTCACTTCCACAATTTATGTGATCTTTAACACAATGTAAGATTGAGTGGAATCTAGTGGAAGTTTAACACTCATTTCCGTATCAATTGCTTCCAGGGAAAAACAACAAAACAATTTGCAACCGTGATATGCTGGGAAATCATGGGAGTTTTGCCGCAAAATTTTCCCACCATTTTCGTGGCTCACGCCATGTGATGAAATGTGGGGTGTTATTGCATCATAGAGTTCTTTCCTGCCGTTTTCATGGGTAAATCATGGGGGGACAGAAGCATGGATGTGCATAGAGGGTGGTGACATGTGTCCAGTGACATCTGCTGTCATCTCACACCACATTCACTGGTGTGAATAAAATTTAGTATGGCATGGCAGTGCATTTCTATCAAGCTGCAGTTCCATAATGCCAGCAGATCATGCAATGGAAAAGTAGCGTTACTGGTTCAGGGGCACTAGCATTATAGATAAGAAAACTAACATCTGAATGAACCCCAAGTGCCCATCTCATCCAACCTTCTGCTTCTCATAGTAGCCAGCTAGATAGTTCTAGGAAACCCACAACCAAAGCATGCTTTTGCTCCCCAGTAATTGATATTCAGGGTTTTTTAAAAAATAAAAAGTTGCCAAAATTTAATTGTTAGATACCTGAAATCTAAAAACTTGCTCTAAGAAGTGTCCGACGTAGTATCCCTTTAAAGAATGTTCAAAGCACATTTCGCTGGTCAAAGAATTCTCCGCACTAATGTTTGTTAAGAATTGCTGGGAATTATAACTCTGTGAGGGGTAAACTGCAGTGACTGGAATTCTTTGAAGGAAATAATGTGCTTTGAATGTGCTTTGAAGGGTATGGTGTGTGCACAGCCTTAATCTATTGTATGAAGACTTCATACAATTGCGTCTGCATAGTGTCATCCAGCAGAATTTCCCCAAGTATTTCACGACCTAGTTATGCCTAGGCCTTCTGCAGAGAATCCTGATGGTGCAGCAACTTGTGCAGACATGTTTGCTAAAACACGTTGCCGATGAAATCTCTCACATTCATTCACACTTAAAATTCCTGTTTGGCGACAGGGTCTGTACCAAGGCCTTGGCTCATTGCTAGGATTAGTTTCAGTTATTGCCGTCTGATGATGCGGATCAGACATTTGGCATGGTCTGTAAAAGAGCCACGTGTTTTTTTTTTATCCTTGATTCTTATAGCTGGCCAGCTCAAGTTTTCATTGATTATATGGTCCCATTTCAATCTGGCTTCAGACCCGATTTTTGTACAAAGCTTTCTTGGCTATGCTGGTGAATAACACTAAATGGGAGATATCGGAAGTGTGTCCCTTTTGAATTTCCTCCGTTTCTCAACAGCCTCCAAGTACCATCAGCCATGAAATCCTCCTGAATTGCTGGGAAGAACTGGAAAGGAGGCGCATTGCCTTGCAGAGATTCTTCTCTTATGTGTCAGGAAAGTTTGAGGAAGTAGTGCAAGGACGTCTCTCGCTTGAGCCTGTGGGAATCGTCGATTGCTGCAGGATCTGAGCCCTGCTCACATATAGGAATGCTGCTTCTTATACATCCCTTGTAGAGATGTAGCATCTCTGGGAATTTTGAACCCACAGAGAAAGGGAAAGGGAGATCTGCTTTGTGTACCTTATAGCCATTTAGGTGTGGTGGAAAATGCTGCCTACAGATTGATCAGCTTATGTATGTCAAATGGGGATGCCAGCTTATCTTTTATCCAAGGCAATGAAATGTCTTGGACTCGTCTTTTGTGTGTGTGGTGTGTGGTGTGGGTGTGGGAGGGAGAGAAAGAGAGAGAGAGAACAACAATAATGGTCACATGGCACTTGCAAAATACAAACCATATATATACAGCAAATAAAAATAGCTCACCATGAGTGACTGCTCTTCCCTGTAGTCCTAATCACATTGCCTTTCCTAAGCAGCAAAAGTTAATAGGCATGTTGGCAATGCAGAAGTATATTTGCAATGGCACAAGAAAAATATTATTCAATGGATGTGATTTTAAGAGGTTTTCAAAGGCATAATTGACTGTGTGTTTCTTGTATCTCACTGGCAGATGATCAGAATTGTAACACAGGGATAGGGAAACCTGTGGCCATTCGTATGCTCCCAACTCCCATCAGCTCCAGCCAGAATGGTCCATGCCACTGGGAGACTTACTACACTTCTGCGTTGCTTGATCTGGAGTATGAAAGGAGAACGAGAACTAACCATGTCTTGTTGAAACTAGCAGAAGTCTTCTGCAAAGTCATCTAAAAGAATCCTGGGTCTATAAAAAAGCTAAAGTTGGGAGGAGAAAATCTTTATGAGCGTATTCTCTTTCTGAGCCAGAGAGCTGTTCAGGGATAAACAACACAGAGCTTCTTGTCGGTTGCTAGATAATTCCATAGAAAGTCTTTTGTATTAAAGTACCCGTTGAAGTTGTTTCCCAATTTAAATCAAATTTCACCTTTTCTCAAAGTCCTATTCAGTACCTTCATTTCCATCTTTGCAATTTGTCATCCAGCTCAAGAACCAAGCCCAATTTAAGAGCCTCCCGAGCAAGTGGCAAATACAGCTATATTCAGAGGCATCAATAGTAGTACAGCTGAATCAGTGTACTCTAAAATATTCTGTTTTGAACAGCTATCGATCTTAAGAGGAGCCTCTGCAATATGATCAACATCTGTGCTGTGATTCTGTCTTCTGGATAAAACTGCAGAGCATGATTTATAGAATACCACTAAATAATTCTTGCATCAAGCTAATAAAAAGAATTGGAGAGAGACCAGAAGTGCAAGTAGGTAATTTTTCAAGGGAATAGACTAATTATTGTACTTGGTATTTCTTGCTGAAGGAATAATATATTACTGGCAATACCTTTTTCTTCTTTCTGTCACCATTATTTTCACTGTACATAATATGGTAGTTAGTAATGGATGCCTATTATTCACTTACCTACGAAAGCTAAATTCTGACAATTTCAAGTGAAGAAAAGGTACCTGAATTTAAAAGGGGAAAATGCATGTACAGTTAGGGGTGCAAGCCATATTCCAGTCCAGAAATAAGTTGCTAATTTATGCAGATTTTACTCTTGTTTCACATGGAAAACATTGCACATTTGCACCTGGATAGCTCAGTTGGTTAGAGCGTGGTGCTGATAACGCCAAGGTCGCAGGTTTGATCCCCGTGTGGGACAGCAGCATATTCCTGCATTGCAGGGGGTTGGACTAGATGATCCTTGGGGTCTCTTCCAACTCTAGAATTCTATGAATCCCCCAGGCTTAAACATTTTAAAATGCAGCATTTCTGCCTACAAGGCTTATATATGCAGCTGAGACCTTCCTGTTGCCACAGCTACAAGAGAATATAATTGTTGTGGTGAGATTATGACATACGTAAGCTTTTCCTGAGGGGGCCTTAATTTCATTGGAGTTTGGATCAGCTCAGAAGTGGCTCAGGTGTTGTGATGGGATGATGAGCTGCTTGTGCGTAAAATCGTATCCCCTCAGAGTTTGTTCAAGTCCACAAACCTCTGTCTGTGACGGAGCCCCTCAGACATGGCTACTCTAGTCACTAGCAGATTCCGACAGTGGTTGCTTTCGTAATCGCTTCCAACATAAAAGCTCCTTAACGGAAACACGTCTTCTGGAATCTCTGCGTGACAGTTTCCGGCGAGGAGTGGGTGTTCTTACAGGAGGTCCTGAAACCTCCCCACTGTTTTCGCTGGAAGTGTCTCTGATGCCTGAAACCTCCCCACTGTTTTCGCTGGAAGTGTCTCTGAGCCATCCCTCCAGCTCAGCTCCTCTCCCCCTGCTGGTTCCCTCTTCAGCTGCTGCGTCTCTCCCAACCTGTGTGAGCCCTTTCACCTCCCTGCTGGTTCCCTCTTCAGCTGCTGCGTCTCTCCCAACCTGTGTGAGCCCTTTCACCTCCCTTCCGTCCGATGGCAGTTCCCTGACAGGTGTCATACTCCATTAGCTACCATCAGGGACTAGAATTCCAGTCCATGGTGGTTTGAGCCTCCTACCCAAAACACTCACCAATGAGAACTGGGATGAAGGCACAGGTGTGTTTAAAACAACCCAAGTCAAGCACAGGGCATCAGTCCAAGTCCAGAATATAATCCCAAGGCAAGGACAAGCAACCATCCAAGGTCAATGCCAAAAGGAATCTAAATAGAGGAGCTAGGTTCAGATTCAAGAAGTCGGGGACCTGTATTATGGCCTCCTATACCACATCCTAGTCACAGCTGCTGGTGCTAAATTTGTTTCAGGTATTATTGCTTGTTCTCATGGCGAACCCCAAGTTTCACTGAGACCTCCACGGGTGGTGAGTAGCATTGTCAGAGACTTCTGACTGAAACAAGAGCGGAAACTGCTGGTGTTTGCTTATACGTCCCCTGTCTGGAATCAGGGGAGCCAACTTGGGCCCCAAATTATGGGTCCCCAGCGGTGCGTGCAATGTAAGGTGTCATCATGATGTCACCTTACGTCACATGTGACACAGCAGTGCCTGGGAACCCCGTAAGTTGCATCGGAGGCCCCACAGTGCGGGTGCCAAGCACCTACAACAATTTTTTTTGTGGGTGCCCAGGTCCCCAGTGTCTGGAATAGAAATCAATGCAGTGAATATGATAAGTATTCACTTTCAATTCGCAAATGATAGATGATTGATTTCACGCACATGCACCCTTTGTGTTGTGTTTCCTTTGCACTGAAATAACTTATGCAATGAATTATATAAATTATATAATTCCACGACACTGAGACAAATTATGTAGAATTTGATGGAAGATGAACTGCAGCAGAATGGAAACGGTCCTGCATGAGACAAATGAAGAGCAAAATGGAAAACAATGCCTTCTTACTTCCCTACTGTTGAGTTGCATACTACCTCATCACTCTTCATCCTGGATCTTTTGGTGTTGGCATTCTTGAGAGCTGAGAGGTGACTCTATCTCCTCCTCCAACACCCACAATGCTTCTTCAATGGGTACCACCCAGGAAGATCCCACAAAAGAATCATCAGCACTGGTTCCAGGGGATCCTGCTTGCTCTCCAGGGTCCTTGGTCTGTAGGCTATCAGGTTTTCCTGTGAAGACTCAGTGTCTGGTAGTGGGTTCAAGGCTAGGCATGAGTGAAACCAAGAGATGAGCTTGTAACTTAGCAATGATGAGTCTTTTTCCAATGTTGGCGCCATCACTAGTCATATGTCACATTCCATGAACTGGTTTCACCATTTATCTGTTCAGAAAGAAAATATTTCTGTCTTAACTCATCTTGGTTATCTGCCACAGGAACAATTTCAGATGTGTTAGATCAAGCATATGCTATTCATTCAAAATATTGGGATAGATAGAAAAAACTCATTGAAGGAGCAGGCTGAGAAAAAAAGTTAATGACACATAGGGGTGTCGGGAAATTCAGCTGTAAACAGAAGCAGAAAATGCCGTGGTTTATGTGTTCATCTATGGTCAGGAACAAAAATTGGTCAAATGAATACAAATCAGTATTTGCTCACAATGTTTCATCCAAAAGATATCTACAAACACTATCTAATTAATGATGTTTTTCAGATTGTTTTGACGTTTCATTTACATTGCAGCAACTGCTTTCTGCAGGGTTGATCAGATGTGCTTGTGTGTACAGTGATCTATGCAGTATGGTAAAATAGAAATACTGCAGAAATTATGGGAAATGCTTTCATAGCAGACAGTCAAATAAGTCAAATAAGGTGGTATTTGATGGAAACCAAACCGCAGCAGAATAGAAACAGTGTTGATTATAACCAATACGGATTGGAATGGAATGCCTTCGTTCATCCCTAATAGCAAGTTTGGCATAATGATAAAAGAAAAATGACTTTTTATTCATTGACAGTGATGTGTTCCTCAACATAGATGGATTATTCATTCATATATTTTAGTATTATCTTAGCTTTATATAAGAGAGTTGGAGCCTTTCTTTAGTCATCTTTTTCTGCATTACAAAATGCACTTGAAAGCACCAAGCGTTGAAGTTGTGATCCTTCGAACAAGATTCTCTAAATCAAAAGGGACTGGTTTCACTGCAGTTTGAGCTTGCCAAGAAAGGTCTCAAGGGGTAAGCTGCTCAGTTTGCAATCATGGCTTCCTCCTTGTCCAAACATTGGTGCCACCACAACTCAACTTTGTGCCACCACATCCCCTACCACAGGGTAGGAAACCTGTGACCTTCCATCAGTCTGTTGCACTGCAAGTCTCATCATCCAGTATCACTGATCACGTTGGCTGGGGCTGATGTGAGCTGAATGAAATTCAATGACATGTGGAAGGCCACAGGTTCCCCAACTCTGCTCTACCACATCACAGTGCATGTCACAGCTGGTTGGGGGTGTCAATGTCTGAACTGGGAAAGAAAATCATATTTGTATGCATTGTGTGTTGCAAATCAAGGGTAGCTAAACATGAACTGGATTGGTTACTCAACCCCTTGACCCTGTCTTCTCAATCCTGCTCTGTACATTGATGTTTCCTCTCAGGCTTTTTCCAGCTTGCCCCAGTGCTCTTTATTCCCACTGTCTTTTTTGTTTTCCTCAGAGTCTTTATGCCTTTACCGTGACTAACTAGATTTCCCCCCAGCTCCTGCTTTCTATCAAAGACATCTCAAATACTTATTTAGTCACTGCTCGTCTGCCTTTATGCATTACGAGGACTGAATGAGAACTAGTTTTTCATTCCTAATGGCTGCATAAAGGGTATACTAGCCTACTTCCCTCCAGCTTCTTTACTTGAACATTTCTATCATAATACTGAGAGTTTAGGGGTTGTTGTTGTTTTACCAAAGAGTATTTGAGATGCTCTTCTTGGAACCACTATCATTCTATTTTCTGATATTCTGGAAGACACACTAGAATTAGTAGTGGCCTCAGTAGTACATCTGCTTAAACGACTGTTAAGCTAAGCTTAAGTGTATGCTGGTGTACTTATCTGAAACTGTGGGAGCTTCACTCATCTCTATGCCTGCTACTGTTGTGTTGCTTGAAAATAAACTGTGGCCTGGCTTAGCATTATATCTGATCCTGTGCCCATGGTTTGTTTCTCTCAAACAAGCTATGAGTGGAAAGCCAAGAGTGGTCATGGTTTGGAGAGGAACAAAGCACAATCTTGGATTTTGACGTAACCCTAAGCCAGATCTTGGCTTGTTTCCTGGCAGCAGTGGGATGGTGGAGAGAGAAGCACTTGTGATTTCAGTGGTTTGCACCAGCACAAGGCACACAGCACACTCACATTGAAACCACTGCTTAGTTTAAACCATAGTTTAGGGCTTATCCGCACTTCCTTTTGCTCCAGTGTTTGCTCCAAGTGCTTTTTTTAAGGGGCAAAAAGCAAAGAAACTAAAAGCTCAGACACACAGCTTTTAAGTGTGGATCTGTGCCTGGAAAAAGCTGGGTGAAATGTAGGTATAAATAAGCCCTATGTTTTAGCAGTTCGAAAGCACGTCATAGTGCAAGTAGATCAATAGCGGAAAGGTAAACGGCGTTTCTGTGCGCTGCTCTGGTTCGCCAGAAGTGGCTTAGTCATGCTGGCCACATGACCCAGAAGCTGTATGCCAGCTCCCTTGGCCAATAAAGCGAGATGAGCGCCGCAACCCCAGAGTCGGCCACGACTGGACCTAATGGTCAGGGGTCCCTTTACCCTTTACCTTTACCTTAACTATGGTTTAAAGTGACATGTGAACCAGGCCTATAAGTTAATGAAGTGTGGCCTACAATTTCAGATGATAAATAAATAAAACAAATAGCCATAGAGGAAGCTGAATAAAAAAGAAAGAAAAAGTTCCTGTTAACTGTCTGCTCCCAAATCTCGCTTTACATGTGTATCACTGTAGTCTACAAACATGTTGGTTTGGCTTCTGTTCAGAAGTTGTTGGTGACTAAATATGTGATTCATGTTAGGGACGTGGGGAGGTGGTGTTTGTACTCTACCAACAGACGGGTGTAGTAACAGTTTCACATGCAAACTGCCTTCCCCTTATTGCATATGGATGCAGAACAAATTGTGTGTGGGGAGGAATCTTCATTTTAAGAACAAAAGCTCTATGGAATAGAAGAAGAGTATTTATTGCTAACCCAATGAAATATTTACAAGCTTTTCTTTATTTCATTCAAATGTGGGGAAATTCATATCTCTATAAATATTCGCGTTAAAAAGCACTGTATGAATCTTCCTTGTATTTCTGCTGTTTCTCCCCTTACTGAACATAAGGCTGTAGTTCTACATAAAAAAACAGTGGGAACTTCTAGAGCATTGATGATCAAAGCGGCACGGTGACCAGAGTTCCATATCGATGCTTGCATTGAAAATCACCAGTGGTCAGGGAATTGTACAGGTGGCATTTCCACCCCCACCCTCTTCAGCAGTTTTTTTTACACATTTTCTGTAGAAAAGAGGTGAGGCTGATAATTTCATTTGATGTGTGATAGTAAGCTATCGGGACACGGGTGGCGCTGTGGGTAAAACCTCAGTGCCTAGGGCTTGCCGATCGCATGGTCGGCGGTTTGAATCCCCGCGGCAGGGTGAGCTCCCATCGTTCGGTCCCAGCTCCTGCCCACCTATCAGTTCGAAAGCACCCCTAAGTGCAAGTAGATAAACAGGTACCGCTTTCTAGCGGGAAGGTAAACGGCGTTTCCGTGTGCTGCGCTGGTGCTGGCTCGCCAGAGCAGCTTTGTCACGCTGGCCACGTGACCCAGAAGTCTCTCCGGACAGTGCTGGCCCCCGGCCTCTTAAGTGAGATGGGCGCACAACCCTAGAGTCGGACACGACTGGCCTGTACGGGCAGGGGTACCTTTACCTTTACCTTTAGTAAGCTATCAGCGGTGCCTATTGTAGATACATTTCCTTGCAGAAATCTAGATTACCAATGGGATGACAACTAATTAGTTGGCCTTATCACCAGTGTCCTATATGTGATTTCCTGCATATGACACTAGCGGGCCTCATTCATGCACACATGCCCAGCTAGTTTTTAAAAAAGCAAAAAACAAAAACATGGTTGGCATTCCAGAACTATAACTAGATCTAAGTCAAAATGGAGGGCAATTTTTTTTGTGGCAATGCCAGAAAACACCCCCTTTATAGCAAATTTTTAGTGATTCCTTCAAAGGAACTTAACATATTTGCCTACTCAGAGGGCAATGCTTCCTGCATTGGCTTTGTTTTTACTCGGTGATGTAGCATTCTGACATCATCCTGTTCACAATATGTTTGCCGACTGGCTGGAATGATCCATGGGACTAATGCAGAAAGGCCTGCCCTCGCTCAGGAGTGGCTTCATTTGCACTCAGCGAGGTCATGTGATCAAAGCTAAGTGCCTGTCTCTGACTACAAGATTCAACATTTGTAAATCAACTCACTTCTCACAGGCTGAAGTCCTGCTCCTTCTCTGCTGAGGGCAGGGAGTGAATGTCAGTGCATGAGAGAAATGAAGATTCAACAGGCATGGGAGGAGGAAGTAGAGTCCTCTCTCTTCCCCAATATGTCCCTTTGTTGCCCAGTCAGTGGCAGATGTAATTGTAATTGTGAAAAGTGTCCCTCTACATTTGTGGTGAGGGAGCCATAGGCCAGCCTAGTCTGGCCCCTTTCCCCTTTCCTCATCCTGCTCATTAGAACTTCCAGTTTCAGACCTTTGTTGCTTCTTATGAGGCAGCAAATAGTCATGGCCCTGTTATATGAATGCACAGCACATCCCTGCCTCTCACCAGGATTAAATTAAGGATTTCTGGATGCACCAACAGATGGAGCCGATGACCTTTGGAATTGCTACACCTGATCCTCCATTGGGAAAGAGCAGGATTGCATCCATATATCTAGGCTTGTATGCAATTACTCATTCCTATATGCCATCAAAACTAAACTTAGGTTTATATGCCCAGGCGCTCAACTGGAGCCAAAGTACTTTTGCCAGATTATGCAGTCATACCATCTGTAACATACAACTACTGAATAAAAGATCTTAAGACATCCAAATAGTCTGAAAAGAGCTGCTTAAATTGATCTAAGGCATAAAAGAAGAATCTCTTTTTATAGGGATCCAAACAATGCTACTGTTTCATCAACCACTCTTTGATCCAACCTATATTTGTCAAAAATATTCAAGATAGCTCAAAACAGTTATTAAGAAGCCCCAGCTTCCTTGATTCTGATGTGACTCAGAAATGTAATAGAATTATTTCTGTATATATTCTGCAATGGTTGTTCTGCTTGCTAGTACTTGCAAACCAAAAGTGCTTGCATGAAGTATACAAAAGTAATTCAATTCAATGTGCATTTTAATTCAAACCTTGAAACTAAGTTTCATTCTATGCAATGTATTAAATGCAGTGCTATGAAAAAATACCCAAAAGTTGTCTCAGATTCAAAAATAAAAATAAAAATGAATGTGTATGTGTATGTGGTAACACCCTTCTGCTTGATCACTACTTGAGATGAATTTGTCTCTGTGCTGGGACACAAAATAATTAAAATAAATTAATTTATAGATATTGCTGCAACATCACACACATCAGTGATCAGATAATACGAGGTTTAGTTCTCAATTAACCAGACTCCTCATTAGACCATTAGCATAAAAGCCTATTTACAAACAAAATTAGATTTAAAAAAAATTAAAAGAAGTATGGTAGACAAAGGCCTGAAAGTAAAAGCCGCTTCACACAACCAACATGATTCAGTCAGTATGGCAGTTGAATGGATCTGTGCTGAGCTGTGTTTTTAGCGAAGCAATTGCTTTATAGCTTCACCCCATGTGGGCAACATATTGAGGGCTACAGGTTCCCTTCCCATCTCTGTTCTTGACCACCTGCACACAGGCTCTTTCTCCAATAAAGCCACCCCTTGCACCCTTCACCGAAACTAGAATTGTGAATGGATGTGGCAGAGAGGGTTTATCTCAAAGGCAGCATGTTTAAAAACATCCCATGACATCATGCTGGTTCAATAGCTGCATAGACTTCACCACAACACATTGTGCAGCATCCCAAAGTAGTACAAAGTAGTAGGAAGATTCTTTATACCAGTCAGGCTATGGAGAAGACACATAGCTCAGTGGTAGAGCAGCTGCTAGGCATGCAGAAGACCCCCAGATTTGATCCCCCAGTACATCCAGTTAGGTCGGGGAATATTCTTTCTCTGAAGCATAGAATGCTGCTGCAAATCAGCATGGGCAGCACTAAGATAGATGGACCAATGGTCTGACTTGGTATAAGGAAGCTCTCTATTTTCCATCTAGTCCTTTAGTGCCCATCCAGAACAGCGACTCTCCAGGGACTCTTAGGCAGAGGTTGTTCTCATCTCCAGCTACCTGGTCCTACCTGGCCCTACCTGGTCTTCCAGCTATCTGTGGAGCCCTCCTTCCTTCCCTCAATGCCCTAAACACATGCTTATTTGGCTTACTGGTTAATCCAGCCCTGCCAACTCCACTTATTCCCCTGAGTCATCATTTCTGCACAATTCCTTGCCATGCATGTATTCTTACCCATCACCCCACTTGCTTCCCAGGATAAATTAATTTTGTTAATTATGCATGTTAAGTACAAAGAGGCATTTTGCAGTACCTACTTTGAGCCTTAATATATTTACAATGCAAAAGAAAGACATGAAAATGTAATAGATTTTTGCAATGTTTATAAAGCAGTGTGTCATGATTTGGTGATTTATTGGTTTTAAGCAGAAGAGTATTGTCATACAGATTTGAATTCGTATTTAACTAAGGTTTTTATTACAACCCGAGATTAAGAGAAAGTTTTTTTTAAAAAGTATTAACAAATCCGTAGCTAAACTAAATTATAGGATCTGATTCCTACTGCCAATAATACAAGACAGAGCTTTTCAGTGCATGAATAAAAAGCAGGGTTTGCAATGGGTGTTTTATCAGTACCACCAAATCAGGCACTTTTAACATGATAGATGATTAAACATGTTAGAGGGTTTGATAGCATTGAAATCTTCACTGAAAGGATCATCGGCTGAGAAAATATGCTGGATGCTTCCTAATATAAATTGGAAACTAAATGTGTTCTTCAGAGGAAAAGAGAAAAGAGCCTTGGGAACAAAAGGGACCACAAAGAATTTGAAATGTGCTTATCAATCTATACAATATATGATTTGAATTTTAGAGTATGCAGTTTGGGATTGGTGGGTTCAAAAAAGTCTCATATATGTGCCTATCTTTCTCTTAAACACACACACACACACACACACACACACACACAGAAACTTAAATCTTACCAGATTTCCTTTTTGAATGCCCAGTTAGGCATTCACCATATTGGCTAAAGAGTTATATGGTGTTAAGGGAGGAGTAACACCTCTGGAAGGGGACATGTTGTGTTCCTTCTGGGGTAGTGTGTCCACCTTTGGTCCCTACTCTGCACTCAGTTCCTAGAAGCTGTTAGCATCTGACAGCAGCCACACCCCAGGAAACAGCTTCAACTGGTCAGCTAAACCAGGTGGGGCTGAAACCCTCAGTGAGTTAGGGACGTCCCCAGTATGCAAAGACAGGCTCTGGTGAATTGAGCAGATGAGAAAAATAGTAGGTCCAACAGTCAAGAAGGCAGTTATTGCAGCCGCTGTAGAGGGAAATGAGGGGCAAACGGGGCTCACCAACCTGGGAGGTTAGCTCAACTAGGAGGAGGAAAACTCTGATCCTAAACCTCTGCTGCCTTCTCATTCACCAGAAAGGCTTTGGGATTAAATTCATACCTGCTGCCTTGTGGGACAACTTCAGAAGAAGAAAAGGCTAAGGAGTAAACCCTACACAAATCCTAAGATGGTTGGATGCCTCCTTCCAGCAACTCCTGCAGCCAAGCTGGTGCCAAATGCATTGCTCTGCTTTCCTTTGGACCACATCAGTGTGGTTGGGGGGGTGTCTTGCTGTCCAAGACCCCCATACACACTGCCCGGGTTAACGCCCCAAAGAAGTCATTTTGCTGCTGCTAATGCAGGAAAAGCAACATGGGAGGCAGCAATTATGAGTTACTGGTCTCTGCAGCCATAACAGGCGTTGTGATTCTCCAGCGGTTTGACTTCACCCTCAGAGGCATACTCCATTGTCTCTTGCAGCAGAAGGATGCCAATAATAATCTTAGCTAAACAAAGAAGCCATGCAGAGTAACCCCAGCTCGTACCCTCATCACCCTGCACAAATTCAAGGCCGTCTGCACTGGGGAAGCCTCCTCAAGATGCCAAGACTACTGCATGATGTAGAACTCTAGAATCAGGGAACTGTGGATATGGATGAAACACAATTCTTTTGCCTGCTCTCTCCAAATTTGTTTATCCAAGACAGCAAACAGATGGATGTGCAGGTTGTCACATTGCTTCACAGCCCCCATTCCCTGCCAATTATTATTATTATTATTATTATTTTTAAAATTCTCCATCTTCTAGGAGTCTCTTTTGACAGAGGGGAGGGGTCTGTAATGAGTAGAGGGAAGCATAGGAGGAAGACAAAGTGGAGAAATTCCTTGCATGGCTCTTTGAAACCTGCTAACTGTGTGCGCAAGTGCAGTTTGTTACCTGCCAGCTTAAATAAATGCCTAAAGATATCATTAGTTTAATGTCTGGCAGCACAACCATATTCACAAATGAGAGGTGACAGAGCCTCTGGGTTAAGAATTACTGCAAGGGTGTTTTAAGGAGCAATATATAATATGAAAGAGCAAAATCAAGGGACAAAATCAAGATAAAGTTGCCTTAAGACCCACTAAAATGTTTCCCACCCTGCTTAAAGCTGGTGACTTTGGAGGAGGTCAGGTTCCAGGAAATCACATTCTTCTCACCTTATTTGCAGCAGTTCCCACCTGTGAGCATAGTCCAAGCTGTAATGTGATTTACCGGTATGCTCTCAACTTGCTAAGAACAGTTTCCCCAATTCTCCCTAATTCTGGTCTACCCAAAAGACACCACCTGCTGCTGCCCCTGGTCTCTGGGCTGCTCCTTCTGCCCCAAAGAGAGGTGCCTCCTCGCACTGCCCCACAGGGGTCTGGGAAGAGGCTGCCCCCAGCCTTAGTGGCCCAACAGAGACTGGCCAAAGGTGAACGTGAAGCCAGCACCTTACTCACCTTGGGGGGCAGCAGTGGCAGCAGCAGGCGCTGCTGGGCCTATGTGGCAGAAAGGCTCCTCATCAGCACCGGGCTCTCAACTCCCAGACAGGTCTTCTACAAAGCAAGCACAATAAAGGCCAGCACAGCGCCAGGTGGCCCAGACTCCCACTGTGCGGCCTAGAACCCACGTACCTATGGGACCGCCTCTCCTGGTATGCCTCACGGAGGACCTTAAGGTCCACAAATGACAACACTTTGGAGGTCCCAGGTCGCAAGTTTGGTCTCAACTAGGGCCAGGACCTTTTCAGTACTGGCCCTGACTTGGTGGAATGCTCTGTCACAAGAGACTAGGGCCCTGCGGGACTTAACATCTTTCCACAGGGCCTGCAAGACAGAGCTCTTCCACCTGGCCTTTGACTCAGTCTGACCCTAATGTTTCCCTCCCCTTATGGTCTTGATTTATCGGCTACTCTAAAATGAGGCTGCATTTTAAATTGCATTTTAACCTGTATTTTAAATTGGTCCCCCCCCTCTAATGTTTTTACAGTGATTTTATTGGTGTTAGCTGCCCTGAGCCCGGCTCCGGCCAGGGAGGGTACAAATAATAATAATAATAATAATAATAATAATAATTGTTGTTGTTGTTGTTGTTGTTGTTGTTATTCCCAACAGCAGGGGCTGGTGGATTGGCTGGTAGGGCTCCCTCACGCACTTGCTTGCTTACTCTGAAGTTGCCTCAGCTCCTGGCAACCAGCACCCCTGACCAGACCTAGAGGACCATTGGCCTGGGGAGCTTGTAGCCAGGGGTGCTTCAACAAACAGCTGCATAAGCCTTTGGGAGGCAGAGACGTGAGAGGGCATCGGAGGAGGGAGGGAAGAAAAGAGGGACAGAGGTCAGTGTTGCCTGTGGCACCCCTGACCATCATTCAAGGCACCCCAGGGTGCCACGGCATACTGGTTGAAAACCACTGATTTAAAGTACTATGATACCACTTTAAACAGGCATGGCTTCCCCCAGAGAATTCTGGGAACTGTTAAGGGTGCTGAAAGTTGTTACAAGGTGCCTATTTCCCTCACAGAGCTACAATTCCCAGAGTTTGCTGGGAAAAGGGATTGTTCCTTAAACCACTCTGGTAATTGTAGGTGTGTGAGCAGCATTTGGAGTTCAGGATTTTGACTGAAATGAGACTTGAGGTAAAGAGTTCAGTGCATGTGCAGAACCAGGCTTCTCTTGAAAACACTTTTATACCAACAGGCCTACGCAACTGTTTAAATTTCTTTGATTAGTCAGTCATCTTCATGATGATTTTTGTATTGCCTCTGTGGCGTTTTATGTGCTATTGTACTTGTGGTACACTTCCTTGATATTTCATATGAATTTATGGTATTCAGTTTTTAAATATATATATGAATAAACAAACAAACACATCTCATCCGTCATTCCAAGTGAAAAAAGACCTTTGTGGGAAATAATGTGCCATTCGTTTTGCTTTTGAGCTTGACAAGTTGGCATTTGGCAGAGAGAAGCAATCTGATTTGGAAGGCAGCATGAGGGAGAGACAGATGAAAGCAGGCGCCAGTGTGTCTGAATGAGGCATCAAGATTCTTTAAAGTGTTGGCTCTGGTGTGAGGCATTTGGGATCTGCTTCAGTCAGCAAAATGTCTTTGGTCTCAGGATGTGGGCAGATTTGCATTTGGACAAGATAAGTAGTGATTTCAGGAGCCTCCCCATCACTAGCTGAAAGTTCAGCTTCAGTACAATCGACCTATGGTAGTTACAGTGCATATGATTTTAAAATGGCTATGACAGCAGTAACTGGAAGAGCTGCAGGAGAAAGGGGGAAATACATTAACCAGAATTGCATTCAAGATTGGTGGGACAAATCTGTCAATTTCAGTTTCTCTCAGTTTCTCATTTTCCCAGCATTAAATCCAGTTTTCCACATTTCCATCTTCATTTAAAAAAATGCTCATGAATATTTGTAATAATTTTAATGTGAATTTCTCCTAATATAAACATCTTTGTATGTGATTTTGCCGACCATACACATTTTTGTAAATCAATTTCCCTAAATGCACTTTTGTCTGTTATTTTTCAGGAATATACGCATTCTTACACACACCTAGCGCGTGGCTTTCTGTGCACATTATTTAGTTAAAGAACTGCATTGCAAAATTCAGAGAAGTGTGACTGTCGAGGGATGGCTGTGTTTCAGTAGGCATATTGTTTTTAGAAAGTGAGAATTAGGTAGACAGTTAAATGTGGACTGAATTGAATTTCTGCCCCATCCCTATAATGCATGAAGGATATAGCCTACGTATGAGGAGTGAGGGCTAGAAAAACCCTCTGGTCCCCTTGTGTTGGCTCTACATCCTATGAGTACCAATCAGGATATAGCAAGGAAATTCATTATACCATATTGGCCCAAATATGAGCTGCACCTTTAAAATTCAAAAGGGGGGGGGGAGAGACAATACCCAAATATAAGATGCTCCCTTCAAATTGGCAGCAACCATGTGGCCCGAGAAAAAAATTGCGGCCCTAGAGGACCTACATGGTACAGCAGGGGGGAGGTTTGCGGAGGCAGCGGTGGACTGCCTGGGCACCCGCAACCTGCTGCCAGCTGCCCCCCATGCTGGGTGGGCACCCCTCACTCCCTAACAGTGGTGGTGGGGGCTGGCTGGGCAGGCAGCGGGGGATCACGGCAGCAGCCCCCACGGGCACTTACCATTCCACTGCCTGCCGCTCCCGGCACTGGGCACCCCACCAATGACATCGGAGGCCCACAGCTCGAAGTGTCGGCAGCGGCTGCCGCCGCCAAGTACCCGCCACCCCCGCTTGCTAGGGCTCCAGCAAGAGTTAAAGGCTTGGGAGCAGCGGGCGGGCTGCGTACCATTGCTCCGCCCTCCCGGGCTGCACTCTGGGGGGGCTCACCACGCCGCTTTGCCGGCAGCCTCCCCCCCCTTCATTCTGACAGCTCAGGGGAGGTTTGGGAGCAGCGGGTGGGACGGCCCTCGTGGTGGCATCCTGGGCTGTTTTAGCAGCGATATTATAAGGTTGCGAATATAAGCCACACTTTAACTTTTCACAGTTGGAATTTGGAAAAAAAAGGTGTGGCTTATATTCAGGCCAATAAGGCCAAAGTCTTCTAATGGTCACAGTGACCTTGGCTGGGATGAATAGGGAGCCAAAAAATTGGCTGATTAAAAGTATGTGTTCATATCCTTTCAACTTTCTCAAGTTCCCACTCACTGGTCACTCATTTACCGTACCTTTTTTTACCTACCTCCTCTGACAACTTCTGAGGTGAGTATTGCACCAGTGATTGTAACCCAGACTGGTTTAAATTCCTTCCTTCTTTAGATAATTAGGCAATACAAAAGGTTATCTATCATTCCTGGTTTAGTTTTATAGATGTCATTCTGAGCATCAAACATCTTGTGCCATTATTCTTACTAATTATTATATTTAATCATGACTTTCTACAACAACAAAAAAATGTTCAAAGCAACTTACAACTCCATAAAATACAGTTGAGATATTTTACATCACAGCTGCCACAACTCTTACGTTGCACAAATGGTATTTTGTGGATATGAATCCATTTACTAAATCACTTATTGCAGCTTTTGTGGGTATGAATCCATTTACTAGACTATGCCTGGACAATACAGCAGACAATGAATTTTCAAAAGAGCAGAAATTGCATGGCATGTGCGAAGAGGAAACCTATTAGGGAATAATGTTTTCCTATTAATCTGCGGTAAAGAGATTTGACCTCAGAATAACTCCCTGTCAAACAAGGAGATGCTACTGTTTACGCTGTGGAGATGTTAACAGATTTTGCACAGATACTTCTTTGAAAAAACTGGAAAGTCAAACTTTTCCAGCTCAGAATATCTAGGATAATTATGAGCTGAATTCAAACCTCTTAGAAGTTTGGGCTCAGACCATAGAACGTTCACATCCTTTCCTTCTGACACTTATCTAGCAGTGCTGTCAGCAGTGATAGAGGTGGAAACTCTGGTCTTCATCAGGCCATGCAGGCAGCATTGTAGGTATGAGAACACCGGGGAACAACATTTTTGTTGCATTGACATCTGCAGTTGTTCTAACCTAATTTCAACGTGCTGATTTCATATCTGAAGTTGGTTTTGTTCTGTAAGCTCTAGGGTCTTTTTTCTTCAATTCCTGTTTTTCACTTTTCACCATAATCTTTGTTTTTCACAATGCAAGAATTCAATCTTTTATTAAACACATAGCTAAAGTAGTACAATATGAGTATAAATGTAAATGACTTATATAGCATTGAACATGACATGTATATCTATGTACAGTTGGAGGTATGCAAAAAAATGTATTCCCTTGGGATACACAGTATACTGGGGAACAATTTTTTTTCCATTTTCTTTTGCATGAGATTTTTCAACTGTTCTTATATGTTCTTTCAATGCTGATTTCAAATCTGAAATCAATTTTCGTGTACATGCTATAGTTATCTTTCAATTTCTGACTTTTGCCGATATGTCATATTTATACTGGGGATAAGTGGACACTGACACATTGATCTACCCTAACCACATGGTAATTATTGTTTTGTAAACTTAATTTTTCTTTATTTTTACAGTTTTGTAACCTAAATTTTTGTATTTTTCAGATCGGAGCATGGCTTCTTCAAGTAGACAAAAATGTGTAAACCAGCCTAATGCCTTTTGTTATGCTATTTTTCTCTGGTCAATACGAAGGGTATCGGCAAGAAAAACCGACATTCTGTCGCCTATCCCACTATTCCTTCAACAATTAGACCTATCCCGTACTCTGAAGAACTCCCAATTCCAGTTTTTAAGGGGTTTGTCTCTTCTGAAGATGAAGGAAGTGAACATGGTGAGGAGCACAACTGGATCATCTGGATCTCAAAATAGTCAACTTATTGCTTGGACAACATAAAGGCTTTACCATGTACCTGAATAACAATTGTAGATACCACTAGGAAACAAAAATAGCAGTCACTTGTGTGATCCTTGGGTTCTCGCCAAACCATGGGAACCCCAAAAGGCATACCCTTCCGTTTTCCTTTTTTCCAGTCTCTAAGCATTTCCTCACAATTGTGACAAACAATATGCGGAGCCCATTTCTTGTCTTGGTCGCCCAGGAGAATTTCAAAATAGCTTTTATAGGCACGCCTCACAAACACTGTTATATTGCGTCTTTGATGAGGAAGTGTGTAGCAGCCACATACATACATAACAAAAGGCATTTCTGTAAGATGGTGTGGCGTTTGCCCTCCTAGGTGCGTGACATCATACTGGGGTCATAAGGAAAGGGTTAACTAATTGTAAAATGACTAACCAATGGGAACCCAAGGGGAGGAGTTAGAGTTAGAGTTAGAGTTAGAGTTAGGGTGGTTAAGAAGTCAGTCTGAAGTTAGAGAAGAGACAGAGAGGATAAGTCTGTGGGTTGGGCTAGTCTGATGTGAGAGAGTGAGAGAATCTGTTAAGAGGAGGCAGTCAAACAGTTGATATAATCAGTCAGAATGTATTAGGAAGGTATAGACCGGTAAATAAACTAAAGAAACTGACAGGAATATTATCTGAGAAACCATAAACTTGTTAATGCTTATAAAATAAACTTGTTTATTTGGTTCAATTTTAACAACTGTCTGGACTCAGTGTCTTACGCGAGAGTAATGGGTTGGTGGCAGCGGGGAAGTGAGCACAGTGGTAGCATAGGGATCAATAGACCGTTAAACGTCCGGGGACCCTGTGTGATCGCCACAGATGGCAGCAACCTTTTGGCAAAGCAGAGCTGCTTCTCATATTAAAGTCATTGAGCAAGCCTATGCAAGCATAGATGCTCCATCTATGCACTTGAATCCTAAAGCCCACAAGGGATTGTCTCATAAGGGTACTGGCCCATAGAATACGTTTACTATGTCTGGCATATGCAGCACAAAATGGATTTGGGCGTTAGCAGCTGTGTCTAATGGCCCATCTATCGATTTATCAATTCCTTAGGAAGCAAAAATGTTATGCCACCTAGGATGTTGTTAACTGTTTATTTTATGTTCACTTATAGACAGGGACATGAAAGGAAGTAAGCAATCAAGAATTGCTTGCAAATCAAGAGGCCACTTAGCTACAGAAATAGACACTGAAGTAACAACATATGGTTACGGTGAAGGAGAAACTTGTTAATTATGCCAATCAGGATTATATTCAGAATTCTAAAGTTAAACAACTTTCAAACAACCATCTCTTGCCCATCCTTGTCACTGCCCATTTCTCCTCTCCTGCTACAATGCTGCTTCTGCTACCTGCATCCATGCCATGGTCTACTGCAATGGCAAGACCACTGGAAGATCACACCAACTTGGAAGAGCCTACTTGTGTGTGCATGTTCCTATTTCATTCAAGAACATAAAAAATGGCCTATCCAGTCTAGCATTCTGTTCTCACAGTGGCCAGCCAGATGGCCACTGGAAGCCCACAAGCAGCACAAGAGCACTACTCTACCCTGCTGTCTCCAACAACTGGTATTCAGAAACAGACTTCAACCTTGAAGGCAGAATATAGCTATCATGGCTTGTGCCCATTGATAGCCTTATCCTTCAAGAATTTGTCTAATTCTCTTCTAAAACCATCCTAGCTGGTAGTCTTCACTGTCTCCTGTGAAAGCAAATTCCATATTTTAACAATGCTGTATGAAGAAGTGCTTTGCTTTGTCTGTTCTGAAGCATCCAATATTTGGTCTATGTTCAAAGGAGGAGGAAAACTTTTCTGTCTCCTTTCCCCATGCCATACATAATTTTACATAAACTTATCCCATCTTGTCCCCTGCTTGCCTTTCCCCCAAACTAAAAAGCCCCAAATACTGCAACCTATCATCAAAGGGGAATTGCTCCACCCCCTTGATCATTTGAGTTTCCCTTTTCCAAACTTTTCAAACTCTACAATATCACCATCACTGTATACCCCTCTTTTAAAAGCTCATTTAAGCCTTTAGAAAGTGCAGACATTTGCTATGAATGCTACGGAAGGAATAACTTGTGAGATATTGTGTGCATTCATCAGGTTCACTTTCTCTTTAAGCAGCTCGGAGTTTTAGGGGCATCTGGGGAGTTCCATGGTGGAGCTGGGTGAAGAGAGAGAGATACAAAATGCCAACTAGTCCCTGGTTCATAGTTCTTATTTGCTTGTTTTCATTTTATGGCAACAAATTAACATGCAGCAGGCTGGGTCTAATCGCCTCTGTAGTGTTGCTTAAATCTGATGTTTAAATGTGCTTGCTGGGGGTGGGGGTGGGGATACCTTTCCTAATGTCATCTTAACTTCCTTAATGATTCAGGGCATTTAAACATAAATTTAGCCTATCACAGTAGTGAAACCTTTGCAGTCATACAGTGGAACATGAAAGCCAGAAGGAATTTGAAAGAAACAACTGCATAATTTCTTAACAGAAACTGATTTAGTGTGTTTTCCTGTTCCTTTGAAGATTCGTGATCCTGAGTACGGACCTTATTGTTTGCCATTTCTAATTTCCAACCCCCAAATATGATCTCATTACAATTCTCCTCCTGGGATTTGGCCTCTTTCATATTACTAGAAGGTGGTGGGCACAAAATTTCTTGGAGAATGAAGGTATTGACCGTGACATCACTAGATAGGAAACACTCAGGACCAGCTTCACCATTAGGCAGACTGAGACAGCTGCCTCAGGCAGACAAATTTGGGTGTTGTGAAAGGGCAGCGCATAGTGAATTATTTAATTTACACTTGTTGTGATTTTTACTCCCTGGATAAAAGCGTCTGTGGGATTTTCTGTCTCAAGAACACAACAACCTGGCCAACCTTGGATATCATGCATTTTGTCTTGGGACTGTCATTTTCTGTTCTGCATCGGACAGAAAAATGTCCTGTGCAGGCCCTGGAAATGCTGGTTTGAAAAGAGGAAGGACTGCAGCTCAGTGGTAGAGCCTCCACTTTCCATGCAGAAGCTCTGAGGTTCAATCCCCAGATAGGGCTGGGAGAAAAACCTGTCTCAGGTCTCTCCTCCTCTCAGACTTCAGTCTCTGCAGCTCGGGAGATGTCGATGGGTTACTAGACCCAGAGGCCGCCTCAGCCTCTTCTGACCCAACTGGTAGTGGAGCAGCTGTAAGTGATTGCCCAGCAGAGAACAACGAGGTAATCCCCACATCTGGAGCCAGGGCAGGCTCAGGCCCCTGACTTGGCCCAGCTGGTGCTTGTTGCAGGGGAACCTGTGCAGACTGGGACTCTTCAGAATCAGGCCCCAGACTCGGTTCAGATGCCGCCTGAGGCAAAGGATCTGGTGCGGACTGAGATTCCTCTGGCTTCGAGTCTGATCCAAAGTCCCAGGCCATCACAGGAGGGGAGAGTGCTGTTGTGCTCAAACCCTGCTTGTCAGTTTCCTAAACGCATTTGAGTGGCCACTATGAAAACAGGCTGTGGAACTCAATGATCAAGCAGGCACATCTTATGTTCTTACTTATGAATAAATATTTATAGCATTGCTTTGACAATCACAGCATAAGGGTTAGCTTTTATGTTTCAAAAAAACTGATTAAATTATTTGTTTTTGTTTCCTTGATAGAAAGAATCCCTACCAGAGAAGAATGGCAAACCAAGCTGTTGGACAATGCCAAATTGGCAAAACTATCCGGAAAGCTCAGGAACCAAGAGCACCATAACTTTAATAAAGAATGGGAAAAACTTACAATTTACTTGATAGAGCATTGTAAGCAGATGAACACATTAGCAGGATTGCAATAACACTTGTAACGTAGAAATTACTATGGACAAAATGATGAGACATAAAACTTGGATGATGAAATAACATGCAGTTGAAAAGGTTTATAATAGGACCTATGGAGGGGAAGGTGGGAAGTCTAGAGATTCGGAGAAATCTCTAAATAGGGATATGTATTTGGTATTGGTATAATCTTACACTTGGAAAATCAAATAAAAATTATTTCAGAAAATTATTTATTTTTGTTTCAATAATTCTATTCAGGTAAGTTGCTTTTTTCAGTATTATTGTGTAGAGAAAAGGAGTAATTAAAATATGCTTTGTATTCTGAGGCATAACAGAAGATCTTGAATCAATTAAAAAGCTAAAGGGGGGGGATAGAACCTTAAAAGAACGACTGGTGATGAAAAGCGAGTGTTGTATCTAAGGACGGCAATCAATAAAAGTGTCACAGAAGGGAAATACAGGTGCCACTTGGAATTACAGTGAAACTTTATTGAAAGACAGTATGTGCTTTGAGGGACAAAGGCAAAACAGTATCTGATTAATGTAATTCATTGTCAGCAGCCATCTTCAAAGTACTAATAAGAGAGAGACCTTTGTAAACAGCATGTTGACTGATACTTTTTTGTCTTCCTGAACTTGAGAAGAATAATTTTTGGGGCTCCATCATCAGATGGAAGTCTTTTTTATGCATATACAAGAATGTGGATGTAAAGCGGGTAAGTCCAGGGAGGAGATGTGGGCATACCAGCCCCATGTTGAGTGTCCTGATCTCCCTCCTCCTCCCCCCTCAACTTTCTAGTATTGTACACATTTGTCTAAATGTGCTTAGAAGCCAGTGCTGTTTTTCTAGAAAAAGAGGTGCTGGAGCTCACCTTGTTCTCTTATAATAGCAATGGCACCTACCTGAGAGGAGCCAGAACCAAGTTTTGGCTGGGATGGGGGAAGCCCTGCTAGATCTAGTGTTATCAGGGATTCCAATTGCAAGGAGACTTCTAAGCATGTTTAGGCAAATGTTCTTAGAAGGCCCCTTCAACAGTAGGTGGAAACCAGAGCCAAATGAAAAGGCAGAGCCACCACAACTGATTATATATAAAAAAGGCAAGCAGCTGAGATCAGGGGAAAGTGAGGCTGGTGAGGCAATGCCCCATTCACTTTAATGGGCTAGTCTCCAATGGCTACTTTGGATACTTCTTTTGCTGGTGGTATCTAGAGATAAGCTCCCAAATTGAGAATTTGGGGGGGGGGCGAGGAGCAGATACTGGGGAGAGGTAGCCCTGGGTCCTTTGGAGTCTCGTCATTCCTCTAAGACAGTGATGGCCAAACTTGGCCCTCCAGCTGTTTTGGGACTACAATTCCCATCATCCCTCGCTAACAGGACCAGTGGTCAGGGATGATGGGAATTGTAGTCCCAAAACAGCTGGAGGGCCGAGTTTGGCCATCACTGCTCTAAGAGATCCCAGGATTGGGCTCCTTGACTATGACAGTGACAGCTTGGAGCTACTGTGGTTAATTATTTCCAGCCAGTGCCACTGGTTTCAGTAGGGGAGAAATTTTACAAAAGGGAGAATCATAATATAGCCAACTTTTTCTTCCTGGTGTAGTTGTTACTCTGGATATAACAATGATTTTTTAAAAAAATTCAAACAAGGTGCATATCTGTTCAGAGTCATTAGGTGTATAAATTCCACCTGGCCCCACAGATGGGCACAGTCTTCTAAGCAAGTTTGATCTCAGACAAAGCAATTCAGCATGATGGAGAATTCATGACTCACTTCCCTTGACACTGAAGACCAAAACCATAAATTTCTACCTTTTACTCTCTCTCTCTCTAAATGGTAAAATGCATTCCTTCGCCTGTCCTATTGGCTGTAAATTACCCTGAAACTGCTTCCCCTTGTGTTTGCTTGATCTGACTGCAAGATGCTAAATTTATGTGCTCAGCAGTCAAAAGTCACCAAACTGGGCATTACATTAGCTGCCATCCCTTTGCTCTCCTCGCTAGGGTACAAAGAGGGCACTCTGTAGATGGCCTGTTGGCATTAAGAGAATGAACAAAGCCTATTTTAATGATGAAAGCAACAAAAGTGGTTTCAGACAAGGTCAAGACCAAAAGTGAGATAATGGGTAAAACATTAATTTTCTGCTTGTTCTGGAGTAAAAAAAAGCCAAGTGACTGTGTTTTCGGCTCATTGCCATTACATGCCTGTTCAGGCATTTCCCTTCATTCATTCTCAGAATGTATGGACGGAAGGGTGGGGCCCTGCATGCAAGCCCCTCCCCCCACTCTCTCCCTTCCTGCTTCACCTACCAACCTTTTGCCCATTGGGTTGGATTCAAGAGTATTGCAAATGCAGTTCTGCTCAAGGAACAAGGACTCTGCTTTGTCTCTGCACACTGACATTGACCATTTCCTGAAAAATATGTTGGGGGATCCTTTGGAACAATGTGGAAGATGGCACAGGCAGCTGCAAGAAGAAGCAGTAAAAACTATCCCTGCCTCAGCTTTTGTTCATGGAAGACTCTGCAGGATCTGTGTCACTTCCATTCATAGAAGTGGCTATTCCATGAATAAACAGACTTATTTCCATTCATGGAAATCCCACCTATTGCACATAAAAAAATTACAATTTTAAAGAGTACTACTTGTGTTCTATTATTTCTTTCATTAAATAAAATTAAATAAGGAAACTGAATCATCACGTATCATTTCCACCCCACCCCCATGTCTGACTTTATACCCGAATAAAGCTTTCATGAACCAAAGCATTTAAAAATCTACTCCAAAGGATGCTAACTACTGGAGATGCTCTCCTGAGTCCAGCTCAGAAAAGTACTCAGTTTGGTCATTTAAAACTATCTCATAGAAGAGGCAATCTTCACAAGCCCTCACAGTCTTCTCCAGCTCAAGCTGAAACCCAAACTATCCAATTGCCAGCTTTACTCTTGCAAAGTTATGTCCTCCCTTAGATCAAATATCTTCTACTTGCATAGAGAGAAAACAAAGCAGGGGTGAAATCTGAGGAGTCAAGGGACCCACTCCTCATTGGTTCTCAGCAAGAGGATGATCCCCCCCCCATATTTTGTTCCAACAGGATCCCCCCCCCTCCCCAATGCATCTACTGGAGTAGGGGCACTGTGCTAGTTTATATCATGAGTAGGCAAACTAAGGTAAGGCCCAGGGGCCGGATCCAGCCTTCTAAATCCGGCCCGCGGACGGTCCAGGAATCAGCATGTTTTTACGTTAATAGAATGTGTCCTTTTATTTAAAATGCATCTCTGGGTTATTTGTGGGGCATTGGAATTCTTTCATTCCCCCCCCCAAAATAGTCTGGCCCCCCACAAGGTCTGAGGGACAGTGGACCAGCCCCCTACTGAAAACGTTTGCTGACCCCTGGTATATGATGGATGAGGAGAAAGACCAAAGGAAATGGGATGGGTGGTGATTTTGCTAAATCCTTGGATTGACTGGTATAATTTCTTGAGGGGTGTGTGTCTGTGTGTGTGTTTTGAGGGGGGGGGAGAGCTCAGGTAAGTTTCAAACTAATCCAAGGCAAGCTTTTCACAGCTCACCCATCTCGTAATTTCTATTTTTATACAATTTCATTGAGGAGCTCTAGCTATGTTTACATTGTGCTAATATGAATTTTTGAGACGTGAAAAGGTACACACCAGGTATCCAGCTCCTGAGAAACTAACTGAAAATGTGCCCATCAACAATATCTCATCTGGCTGGAATTTATAATTGTGCAGTAATTGCACACGATTGTAGGACTTTGTTTTGATTTAAGGGGATAAAAACTGAAGGTCATATATCTTAGCTTCTCCTTTCCATCTTCATTAGACACTTTAATTAGGTAGTCTAGTGAAGGCTGTTCATTACTTCATCACAGATCAGTCTCATACTCTAGAAAAGCAATGAGGATTATAGGATTGTTTGTTTGTTTATTCACTCATTCAGTTGATTAAAATATTTCCATCTTGCCTTTCTGTCATTTAGGCATCCAAGGTTGCAAACAGAATATTTAAAAAATGAGATGCAGTAAAATATCACAACAGTGAAAAAATATAATAATAAAAACAGTAGAAATCCTAATGAGCAGATATTGCAGAGAGAACATTGGAATCAGCAGCATCCAGGTATATTCAACATACCCTTAGAAACCTATTTAAACAACATCATCTTCATGGCACACTGAAAATGTGAAGGAGCCAGATGGTCTTCCACATGAAGGTGATTCCGAAGTTGGGCATGGACATCAGTGGTGTGGTGGTAACATTATTGAAGTCCAGATCTATGCTGTCAAAAAGAGTTGCAAAATGCAGGTAGCCACTTTGTTGCATGATATATTATGGGTTTACAAAAGATTTGGACAAATCCCACATCAAGAACTGGAGCAGGGCCATTTTGAACAAATATGTGGTTTTTCTGAGCAGAAGCAGAATCTCTCTGAAGCATGCTGCACTGATTCCAGAATTTCTGAACGGCTCCAGGGTGATTCAGATCTTTAAAAGCCCCTGCAGATGGCAGGTTTGCAAAAACTGAATTCTCCCCCAAGCTTGCTATATACACTAGGGTGGGGAAAGAAGGCAGGGAGAACTCTTTTGTGACAGACAGTCCTGGGTTCTGTTAAAGGGGAAAGGGATGCTGAAGTAATTTATCACCTTATTCTTGACTTTTCTGTTCTCTTTGTCAGTTCTGCTAGTTATGCACACTTGGAAAATGAGGGGCATCCAAGTTCTTCTGCCTCTGTGACATATGCCCATACATTCATGTCTGTGAAATCAACTCTGCACTTGATTTCTGTGACTTCTGGTGCCAGCTGCGCAGAATAGGAGCTTGAAGCTCTTTCCCTCCCATTCATTATAACTCCCTAGTCCCTGCACGCATCCTTCCTACTTTCCAAAGGAACTCTTTGCTGCATGTCCTTTTCATAATAAAATTGTTGCCCTCAAAACTATAAGTTCTCCCCCTCCCCACAAATCAACTTTAAAGATGCCTAGCACATTAAAAAAAAAGTCCATAATTTGGCAGATTTCTGAGTCAAGGGGACTTCTCTCATGCTTTATTTTTTCCTACAAATTGCCCATGAAACAATAGGGCAGAATAAGTGAATCCCTTTTTAAGCAACTCAAACTGTAAATGTGTCCTTAACAGGAAAACTACTTCTGCTATACTTCTGAAATTTAGCAGCATTCATGCATTCTGAATTTCATGCCTGCAAATTTTACCCAATTTTACAACAATAAGGTTATAGGTGGTTCCTTTTTCAATTGGTTTTCATATCCATGGAAGTAATATAGTTGTGTGTTCTGTGCTGGAAGACCTGTTCAAGCAGTTTCTTCTGAACACTTCATGTCCACTGGACCAGATTTCTCCTAGAACATTGGTCCTCAGCTGGTGGATTATCATTATACTGTTACCTAAGAGTTGTTGTTCAGATAGCACCATCACCATGTTATCTTATGTTATGTTTTATGTGATGTGATGTGATATGTGTTGTGTTGTATATGTTATATTACAAAAAAAAAGTTAAGAGAACGGTGGGTAGAAAGTAGAAAATCAGACCCCAAGTCAGGTTGGCCTTAAAAGGGCAGTCTTGGGTCTAAAGAGACTATCCCAGAAGACGGCCTCTGCTCTTTAATAAGTTGTGTTTTTAAAAGACATAGCAATGACAAGGGAAAGGAGGCAAATATGCATCTAATTGTCAGAAAAGCGCTGCTGGAAAAGACCAAAGGTCTATTCTGTCCAGCATTCTGCTCTGACAGCAGCCAATTAGATGTCTATGGGAAGCAGGACATGAGCACGTTGCTTTATGTCCTGTGCTCTGCTCCAACTGACATTCAGAGGCACACTGGGTCTAGTACTGGAGGTAATTACAGCTATTATGACTAGTACTCACTATTCAACGTGAACAAATGTGTGGGCAAGAGTTCAGGAGAGGGGAGAACTTAAAGGAGTGGCAGCATTGTGCTTCATGTTGGCATGGCAACCTTTTTTCATTATGACAAACAACCATGTAGGTAAGCTAATACTGAAAGGCTCTTCCTCTCTGCTTTGTCTGTTGCATCCAGTCACCAGACAGGAGTTTGTGAAATGTGGTAAACGAGTCCATAACCCTTTACAGTCATCAAAGACTGACGTGTATTCAGTAGAAAAAAGATATAGTAGCTTCCTGATAAAGTATGCCCCAAAGGAAGGAACCTTAATTTGAATTTATAAAGGAACCAATGTGATGGTTATGGGGGTGGGTTGTTGCTGTTTTTTCTTTGTTTCGCAACTTTTAAAACTAGTGAGCCATAGTCCAGACAGCGTAGGATTCTCCCCTCCCTCCCTCTGTTCCATGCGTGACCACCCAGCCCTTCCCCTGACACAGGTGAAGGAGGTCATACTTGTGGAACCGCTGTACATTCCTCATGGCTCGCAAAAGTCCAGCTGCTTCTCTTTATGTGTAGATATCTGTTAATTTATATTACCACATGATTTCATACTCATGTGTTCCAAGTCCAGCACACTGCAAGTTACTCATTTTCTTAGCCACCTATTCTAGAACGTGCTTCCAACTAAACCAATAGCCATTTGAAACATTTACCAACACCAAAGCTGCATTCATAGATGCATTTATCTGGGAATAAGCCCTGTAGAACTCAATAGGGCTTACTTCTGAGTAGACATTATAGGCTTGCACTGTAAATCACTTTGAAAACAGAAGGATATAAAAGTGATAAAATGCACATGCATGACAGCATTTTTAAAAGGCAAACTGCATCATTGGAGTGTGTGTGAGAGACACACACAGAGAGAGAGAGAGAGAGAGAATGAATGGGATTGTAGTAAGCCTGGAGAGGGAATTTAAGCCTGTCCTTCTCTGAGGAAAATCATTTTTCTGAAGCTTGTATTGTGGGGAGAAGAATCTGCTCTTGGCTTTATTGAGGAATCACGCACCTTCAGAGAAGAGATTTTCCTCCAGATCGCAGCATGGGGGGAAAGAGTTAAACTCCTTCTTCATGATGACCCTGGTTCTGTTATTTGTTAGCCACCCCCACCCCATGGTGCAATTGGGGGGGGGGGCAAAACCCTGCAAGTTAGATGCAAAGACATATTTTTGTCACATCCAGTTTGTTCCACAGTCAATGAATGCCCAGAGCAGTGGCAGCGCAGAGGTGACATAGTTATAAATATGATCAAGCTTTGGACCCTTAGAATCCCAAAGGCAGTAGTTCCAGGGTTATTACAGGGTTGCAAATCCCACAGCAGTCAAAAGTCTAACTCATATTCAATAATATTATCAAGAACAAGCTGCTGGTATAGCCCCAAAATTTATATTCTGTTACTGTAGATTCTATTAATATCCACATACACAGAAAGCCTAGCCCAGGGCCAAAGTTATACTTTTTGCACAGTGTTTGCACTGGGAAATATTAAGCATTGCTTTGATTATGGCGGCTAGAAGGTAACAGCACTGCTACTTCTACCCAGGGGTTTATTATCACACCTAATGAAACTATATAGTTCTGCTAATAGTTGACAGCTGGTAGTATAACTAGAATACTGCAAAATGAAACTAATCCCGCATAACCCCACTAAAATGCAAATATTGCCCAGATTAAGCACTTTTAAGATCAGCCGAATCTCATGAGTGCTTTATTTTGGCGAGCCAACAGGGAACAATCCTACATTAAGGCGGCACTCCTATATATATCTAGACTGCAATCCCAAACCCATTTACTAGGAAATAAGCCCCATTAAACTCAATGGGACTTATCTTTGTAGATTTTACGGGATTGCATTGAAGATTACCTGGTAAAAAAACTCCACCAAACACTGAGACTTGCTTTAAAGTAAAGATGCATATCTTATTTATACTTGCAGGGGAGAAAGTTACATTCAACTTAGAGTCAAACTAAATATGACTTTTATCAAATACCGTATTTTTCACACCATAACACTCACTTCTTTCCTCCTAGAAAGTAAGGGGAAATGTCTGTGCGTGTTATGGAGCGAATGCCTACGGATGGCAGGGGGATCTGCTGCAGTCGTGAGCAGAGGATCCATGGTTCCCCTTCCTTCCCTCCTCCGTGGCTCACTTTGAAACAGCAAAGCGGGAGAAGAGCCGCTGACTGAGGAGGAGAGAGAGACAGTGAGCCTGCTTGCTTTAAAGGAGCAAAGCGGGAGAGGAGAGGAGAGGAGCCGCTTACACGAGTGTAAGCAGCTCCTGTTCGGTTGGCTCCTTTAAAGCAAGCAGGCTCTCTGTCCCTCTCTCCTCCCCACTCGCTAAATAGCAGCAAAGTTTTTCGCAAGCAGGCTCTCTGTCTCTCTCTCCTCCCCACTTGCTAAATAGCAGCAAAGATTTTCGCAAGCAGACTCTCTGTCTCTCTCTCCTCCCCACTCCTCTTATAAGAGCCTTCTCCTCTTATACCCCTCTTCTGCATTATTAACAGCATCCTTCTCCACCCACCCCATGCGTGTTCCTTGTCCCTTGAGTGCTTTTCCTTCCCTCCCCACTTAAAACATGGTTACAAAGCACGGATCCACATGGATCCTCAGGATTTTTGCACTGGGTCACCCCAAATTCACCATCAGATCACATAGCATGTCCATGGCTACAGCTTGCACCAAAAAAATCACGCACCCACTGTTGCCTGGGGCCGCAGTGGTGCAAAAACGTGGTTACAAAGCACGGATCCACATGGATCCTCGGGATTTTTGCATTGGGCTACCCCAAACTCACTGTCAGATCACATGTCTGTGGCCACAGCATGAACCACAAAAATCATACATCCACTGTTTCGTTTCGAATATTTTTGTTCTTGTTTTCCTCCTCTAAAAACTATGTGTGTGTTATGGTTGGGAGCGTGTTATAGAGCGAAAAATACGGTAGCTTTCATTACACCTTCACTGTATTGTCTTTAGTTCATACTTTTTTTTTGTGTGCGAGAGTGTGTGTGCGTGCCAGCCAGCCTACCCAGGCAAGGAATTTTAGCAGCCATGTAATTTTAGCATACAATTTAAAATATGTTATTTTAGTAAGTATAATTGTTTTTAAATTACAGATTTTATATATTTTTAAAAAACATGCAAATTGTTTTTAACATTTGTTTTTGTAGACCACATACAGGTCTTAGATTTGAGCAGGTGGCATACAATGTTTCATTAAATAAAAGAAATGGACTGCACAGCTTCCTGGTTAAGAAATAGTGAAGGATGGGGGGAGGGGGTTTAAACTGGCACAGAGCTTGTGGAAAGATCTTTAACCCTTTGCTCCATCCATGGTCAAAACTGAAATCGACAGCACGAGCAGCAGCAGCACCCTGCTCTCTTGACTGCTGTTGGCTTCCCCCCCCCATGGGCACCAGTATGAGCTTTTATTCCATAGCAAATAGCAGGTGTGCACACATTAAGAATGAAAGGATCTGTCGGTTGCAGATCTCCCAGTTTCTCATTTTTCCAATCTTAAATTCAGTTTTCCACATCTTGCAGCAAGTTGCAAATTTTGTAAATTGAAAAACCCTCATGAATATTCATCAGCACTTTCATACAAATTTCTCCTAATAAACGCATTTTACGTGTTTTTATGATGTACACATTTTTGCAAGCAAATTCCTTAAAAGAAATAAGATTCTTATTAAAGTTTTTCACAATGCAATAAGATATGAGCTACAAAATATACAAAGAGAACCAGTAAAATATGGAGTCCTCTCCTAAAGGCAATACTTGGCCCCTACCACCCACTGATGGTAGCAGCCCTTCCCAGCTCTCAGCTGGAATCCTTCCTTTCTCCTCCCAGCCTCTCACTTTCCATCAACTATCTACCACCCCCATGAGCACAGTCCTTAGACCTTAACAAAGACCCCCAAACGTATGACTCAAAGAAACAAGAGAAAGGAAAAAGTGAGAGATAAAAAAGAAAAAGAAGCAAGAAAGAAAAGAGAGAGCAAGAGAGAGATAGCAAGCAATTTCCCATAATATAATGGATTTTTGTATGTTATTTTCACTAACAAAGTTATTTTAATGCAGTTTTCCCCACTAAATACATTTTTCAGACACTGGTTGGAAAAGTGTGTTACAAAATTCAAATAAGTGCAAAATTTGAAAGATAGCTGTTTTTCAGTTCACATAAGAGCAGATTTCATACATTCGCCTTTAAATGCAGATGGATCGTATTTCTCCTCCATCCCACGTGTGTGTGTGTGTACACAATTGCAATCAGGTTCTCACAGGGGTAAAGGATTAATCCTCACCTCCCATAATGCCATGCATGGTCGCTAGCTCAATCAGAAAACAACAACACAACTGCAAACAATGTGACATGTCACATGCAAAATACCCACACAATAAAGATAGGAGCCATACCTCAGTACTATACTCGGGAGATGGAGAACCTGTGGCCAGTTATTAGCATGGCTAATGAACAGGGAGGTTGGGAGTTGTAGAGGATCACACATCACCCATCCTTGAGAATGAGATAATATTCACTTTCTTTAATATGCTATCTATGTTACACCCCCCCCCGAAACTGAATAAAGCATACCATGTTAATGAAACACATTATATATATATATATATATATATACACACACACACACATATATATATATATATATATATATATATACACATACACACAGTAAAGAAATAATTTGGAAGGCACACTGCCCCAAATATTGCTGAAGAAGTCATCTTGGCCAGCCATGGTAGTGAATTATGAAATGGCAGTCAGTGCTGCATTCAGAGCACAGACCTAGTGCCAGTCACAATGGAAGGTGGTAGAGTAAGGGGGGAGGGAAAATGTATTGCAGGCTGGTGCAGTGGAGATGCCTGGATTGGGCCCATTCCTAGCAGCAGAGTCTGCTGAGGATCCTGCTGAACCAGCCCAGCCCAGCCCCTCCCCACCTTTAAAATGCTACAACCAGCAGGGATGTCACTGGTGGACATTTCCACCCACCATTTGGATAAGAGTGTTGGGATGTTCCTTGCCAGCTGGGCTTCTTCCATGCCATCTGAACTGCCTCCAGCACAGCAGAGCAGGGGCTAGGCTCACTCTGGTAATCCTAGAAGTACTGTTGAAGCAAATGTTTTGCAAATGAAACAATCCCCAGCAGGTGCCCTGTGCAAAGCAAACATTTGGTGCCCCCTCTGACGGCGCAATGACACTTTCACCTCTGGTGCCGTTGGGCCCGCCCTCACTTAAATATAGTGCACCCACCTCACAGAACACCAGTTACACAAATTCCTACAAACTACCCCAAATTATCTTGTGGGGGATTTGTGTGAGAGAAAACCTAAAAAATTGGAGTCGCCAGCAGGATTAGATCAAATAAACAAAGGATGTTTATGACACAAAGTGGGTAAAACATAGGGTACTTCAGATTATGTTATTTCACTTCAGTTCTTTCTCAGTTGTTGCACAGCTGTTGCCGCTTAATACTTTGGTTCTTAAACAAGGTGGTACTTCCTGTCAGCTACACACCCCTTAGACAACCCTACTCCTGAGGTACTCCAAGTAACAGACCCAAGGGATCTCCACACCCCTCTTAACTGGTTTGAGAGTCTTCTCTTTTTGTAGAAGAATCTCTCCCTTCCTGACTGGAATGAGTCCTAAGTAGACTTTATTTTCACAGCTTTTACTTCTCCTGGCTCAGCCTCAGCCTCCCAGTTAATTCCTGGTTTATTATTCTTGCAGGACACCACACACTGTCCTTCACACTAAGCTCAGAGACTTTTTTCTCTAGCTTCTGATATTTTCCTCACAGTGGATGTTTCTACCCAGAACCAACTCTCTCTCCTCTCACTCCCTAGCTCCCAACCTGACTCCTAACCTATCTCCCAACCTCTGTCCCAACCAACCATCTCTCAAGATCCTCTCCTTTTCAACTCCCTCTCCTGGAACTCTGGCCAATCAGAGGCTGCAATTTGTTACCTGATTGCTGGCAGGGAAAAAGAAAATACTTGTAGACCCAACCTGCCCAGCAAAACAAACTTTTCCGTCACACCCCCACCTCTCACCTTCCATTCTGCTCAATTCACCACGTCATAGTTGTGACGTCCTGTGTCGCCCCCCTAGGCTCAGCGCCCAGTGCAGCAGAACTGGTCACACTGCCTTAAATCCACCTCTGTCCTCAGTTTTAATTGTAGAAATCCACTTGAGAACATAATTCTTCAGCAGCTCTTAAAGCGTTTATGTGATTTCTCAATTGCTGATTGATTTGTTAATTATTGATGAAAAGGGTTTTTTTCTAGTTGGAAATATTTATTTCATTAACTTAACAGATTTCATTCAATTTATATTGTATTTTTGTGTGCACGTATCTTACTTCTCGGGAAGGTTGACACTGTGATAACATTCGCAATGACACTGAAGTGCCAAACAAGAAAAGTTTTGAGGGGAAAATGGGCAAGATGAATAGGTAAGAAAATTCTGAAGGCTTGTCCTTGAAATAATCCTCTAGGTATTGTGTTGCCCATTCTGGGGTCGTTTTGGCGGTCTTCCCTAGAATTCAGGGCAGATTATTTGTAATTATTGGTACTAAGGCCCAAGAGGTGGAAGTCAGGAAGTGGGAGTTTGTGGGGGTGGAAAAATTACATCTCCACATTACAGATACTTAGAATTGTTCCAAGAAAAGAATAATCTCTGCGGTATGCCGTGTTAAAAAAAGGCCAGAAGTGATTATGTAAGAAAATGGATCCCACTGAATACAGATTAGCAGCATTAACTCTGGCTACACAAAGCAGAGGAGAGATCACAGGGCAGAAGAAGAAAAACCTGCATGCAGAGCTTGTGGGCATACATTAATTAAAGGGTATTATCAATGTGTGTGCTTTAAAAGGATGGAGAAGTGAACATTTTGTGTTTAGCTCTGATTTGGACACTCCTCTGCCAGATAGATCTAGACTCAGTGTTATTACAAAAAGGCATTTCAATCAAATGTTTCATTTTGAGCCCCAATTTACCAGTCTCCCATACAATTAGATGAATAAATAAAACATTTAAATGTATGATTCTGCATAAAACATCTATATTATGGTGGGAGGGGGTAGAGAGATAGTAGGCATATAGAAAAAGCAAGACACAACAATATTGCAAGGGATATCCCCCCTCCCAAACACCTAATATCTATCTACCCTTTGGTAGCATTAAAAATAATACCAGGACCACAGATTTGGAACTGCAGAGTTCAGCTATGTGGCCCAGCTCCATAAATTTTCATCAGTTTGCCAGGCTTAGGGTTCCCAACTGGGTCTGCTGCTGTGCCTTTAAACAGCAGTCTGACATGTAGAAAATCAAGAGGTGAAGCTCCCCCCCAACATTTATCTTCACAGTAGCAAAACCTTCACCGATTAAGTGAAGGTTACAGGACAGGGGAAGGACAATTAGAAAAGTAGAAGAAGTTGTCAGAAAGCTCCCCAGTTACAGAACGAGAGTGGAGGCGGTGAGGGGACAGAAATACAAATGGAAGGAGGAAAATGGAAGATGGATCCCTGTTTGAATTTGTTGTGCAAATCATCCATTTCAAGGTGAAGTCAACAGCACTGACATTCACACCAACCGAGAGAGAAAGGTTAATCAGAATCAGGGTAGGTACATGGCTTACCTATGAGGAAAAATGCAACCTCTTCCATAAAAAAAACAATAATATTCAAAATGGTTGTCAAAACCTTAGTGGGCTCAGTGGGATAGGGCTTCAACATCTGCTTTGATCTCAACTTTCAGCCAACAGTTATTATACCTTTGTGTGAATTTGTGTGAAGCACAAGCAATAATAATAATAATTTTGTCCATGACAGGGAATTCGTTGACACTCAGACTTGAGAATAAAGGCTTGCTAAGTATTTTCCCTCTAGACTTTTTGTTTCTTGCTAGTCATCTTGACGTTTTTCACACTCAACAAGGAATAAATCAGACCTGCCCCATCCTCTAAACAATAAGCAGTTTTGATGTGAAGTGGAGAAATGATACTTTTTGACCTCTAAGGATTATAAAGTACAGGCACTGAGAATAAGTCATTCTCATTCAAGCCATGTTCAAGTCTGCAGGCAAACTCAATTGCTCTGTATGGAAACTTCTCTGCCAGACTTTAAAACTGCCAAGATAAACCTACAGCCATGCTGTTCAGAAAAAGGAACATGCCGGAGATGGTGTCTAAAATGAGTCCTGAGCAGAGCCTTGGAAATAACCACATCTGAGCAGCTGCTATTAGAGAAGGGAAGCATGCATTATTAGACATAAAGAAAGATACGCCGCAATTTTACTTTTTTGGCAAACAAAAATGGCAAAGCACTTCCTTGGCCAATGTTTCCCCTTTTATTTCCACGCTTCCTCCTCCCCCTGAAATCCATTATGTTTCACAAGACATATGACCAAGAAGATTGCATCTGGCAGTTTCCCCTTGACTATGACCACAAATTGCTATCTTATGAATCCACCAAAGACAGCCTCTGCTTTGATATTAAATAAGGCTCTCCTGACAGCATGACCAATTATTTCATAAGCTAACAAGGCCAATTCCACCTCCACCCCCCACCCTGACCTGGCCTAAAGTCTCACAGAAAAGAGCTTTGTCAGAAACTGCCAATTCGGGTGCAAATCAGAATTCAAGAGGCATCTTAATGGTTCACAGAAAGAGGCAGTTACACTCCACTTAAGCCTTAACTTTTGGATCTCAGACCCGTTCCTTGTAGGCTAATAATGAACTGATGCAAGACCTGGAAGTAGAGATAGTCATAAGTTGTTACAAGGAATTAAGTGGTTGGCTCCAGATTTAGCCATGTTGACTTCAACTGCTGCACTCTAAGTATGAAGTCTGGACAATCGAGCCCAGTGTATTTATTTTCATTAGAATGTGCTCCCACAAATTATTGTTTCAACGAGCAGTTTTCTTCTCACTGGAGAGAAAGCATAATGGAGCACAAGAACACAGGATGTAGGAGGATGCTTTATACTGAGCCAGACCATTTGTCTCAATACTGTCTACACGGACTGGCAGCAGCACCTCCAGATTTCTGACAGGATTCTGTTAGCTCTACTTGGGGATGCCAGCAGTTGAACCAAGGACCTTTTGCCTAAAAAGCAGATGCTCTGGCACAGAGACAAGTCCCTTCCCTCCTTCTCCTGACCCCCCCTTGATCCCTCAAACCCCTTGCTTCTAGCACCTCCCACCTCATCCCTTCTGCAGACTGCTCTTCAGTGTCCTACCACCAAGAACAAGGATCTAAGTCGTAATCTTCTGTGGTCCTAACTGAGGAATTATTTGGTGGGCAGCTCCCAGCACTCTTCCTCATCCAACCAGTCCCTGATCATGAACCAAAATAATGTGGCTGAGCTTGGGTATTCTGCACCTTGACTCTGAATGGTGGTGTCATTTGCTATTATGCCTCAAGCAGCAAAATGTCTTCGGCCATCCCTGTTTAGCCATGCCTTCTTTTAGATATTCCATTGCATTCCTGGAAGGAACTGGAAAGCAATCTCTTGTTTTATTTATATAAGAATTTTCACCCTGCCTTTCTGACATGTACACGAAGCGGCTTAGATCACCATTTCTCAATATAACCCCAATATCAAGCCAAAATGCAGAACATGCAGAAAATAAGGTCAAGAGCTGGCTCTTAGTGATCAGAAGACCTATGAGTAAAGGTCGGTTACATCAAGGGACCTGCCCAAGTCCTTCATCTTCAACTGTTCTCCAGTTGCCATCTGCCTCCAATGCTGCTGAAGAGGCCCTGAGTGGCGAAGAGGCCATGGAGGTGGAGGTCTCTGAGCAGCAAAATGTAGCCATGGAGGAAGGAGAGAGAAGAGAGGGTTTTGGCAGAGCAAATTGAAAACCAAAAAGAAAATGAAAACTTAACAGTTGAGATGCTAGTACTAGACCCAAGAGCAACTCTAGAATCTGAGGCCTCCATTGGCACTGCCCACAGCTCTGAAAACCTGAATGCTGGTCATGAAAGAGACACCCCGGGCAGAAATTTAGCAATAGAAGGTAAGAGAACAGAGACAGGCAGGCACAGATAAAATAATCTCTTTCAGATGAAACATCAAGGCCAAAAACCACTAAAATAATTAGATGTAAAGAAAATGGAAGTACAGTTTCTTGGTGTTCTTGCCCTCTTTTTTTAAAACAAAGAGACTGAACAACAGAGCAGGGAAAACCCTGGGCTCCATGGGGCACAGTGCTCCATAATTTGGGTGTGGCAAGTGAGAAGGTGCTCACTCTGGTCCCAGTCAAAGGAGCCTTCCCCACAGAGGAGACACAGAAAAGGGCCTCTCCCTTGTTCAAGAAAGTGGTTTCTTATCCCACCACTGCCACCAAAGAAGAAGAAGAAGAAAGTGGTTTCTTAGGTATCTTTGACATTTTATGGCTTTAAAAGTCAACACCAACAATCTGAATTCTGCTTGGAAGCCAGTAACCCCGACTGAGAGGAAGGGGTCCTTGTGTGTCTGTTTTTCTAGTAGGAAGGGAAGTATCCAGCATACCTCATCTCCAAAATGCCAAGATCCCAGTCAGCTTCAACTGCAATAAATGCACCTGTGGTGTTTCCATAGTTACTTGGAGGAGATGCATAACCCTCAACCGTGACTGATCAAACCAGCAAGTTTCCCAACCACCCTTGCTGTAAGGAAGGTACCCATGATGCATTCATGATACTTGGGGATTTGAGCCTTGCAAGGCTCCCTTCTGAGCAACCACACTACTGCCTTTCCCACAAGTTGGTGCAGGAGGGCTTCTATGGAGGGGTGGGATAGAATTTGGGCAACCGTAATTGTGGGCTTAGCTAGCAGGGCCAGACAAATATCATACAGCTTGATAAAATATGTCTGCGACACATAACAGGGTGAGTAGATTAAAAGCCACAAACTTCTAAGCTTGATATAAAGAGGATCAATGTCCATTGTCAAGTAAGGTTATTCAAGTAACAGGGACATGCAGTCCATTGTGACATGTTCTCTGCTGGCTGACATGTCAGAGACCTTTGTGGAGACTAGGGCTTTGTAAGGAGATAGACCTGGAGGGAATTGAAGTGTTAGGGTAGCTAGTTATAATCAGTGAGACCAAGGCAGCAAGGCTGAGCTAAATAGTGAGGAATGTGATCTCTGGAGAACAATGGAGTGAGAGCAAGTTAGTGGCTGGAGGAGCAAGTTAGTGAGTGAGGGGGCAGAGTTGAGACAAAACAACATTAAAATGTAACTAGAATTTTGTACAGTGCTTCTGAGATAGTTCAGATTCTTAGCAGGGGATCCTCCCATGCAAGCTATAATGGGCAAAAAAGAGGTTATCATCAAAACCTATCTAAATGACTCAAGTAAAACAGCTTGCATTTTGCCTTATGAGTATCATTAGAACATGACCATCTCTCAGTTTTGCTGGACTGATCGACTGGACAGGATGTCCTCCGTGAGTTTCAACTCTTTGCTGCTTACACTGACTTGCTCATTTGCCCTCTCCATCTGTGGTTATGGACTTTTTTAGTAAACACATTTCTTGCAAGTCAGTTACCTTAATTATTTAAGTGGTATCTGCTCAGTTTTGAGAAGATAGCCAAAGAGTCCTACAATGGCTGTCCCCTACCAAGTTGTGTTTACAGCAGCCCAAGCAAGGTGAAATGGCTACATTTAGCCATTCTCTAAATTCCCCACAATTCCTCAGGGTGATGCTTGACATTGGGGGGCATTTGTGAGAAATTAAAATGTGATCTAGAGAGCCTGACATCCTGGAGCTACTCAAGAGTTTGAGGCCAGGAAAAAAAAACAATTTAAGAGACAAGCATCAACAGATGGTTTCACTAAATCTCTCACTACTCAATTTCTTTGTTGCTTCCAGAATTTCAATTCATACCACACAGCTCCACTGTTTGTGCACTTCCCGAGTTTGACAAAATGTCTCCCACACACTCGCACAATGTGCAGCCTGAGTGGTGCAGCGATGACGGAATGCTGGCATAGCAAAATTCTTGACAGTTTAAATTCAAAAACTGACAGTTTGAAACACATATGCATCTTTAACTGTCTTTAGTAAGAATGGGAATCTCATATGAAACAAAAATATGGAAACACGTTAGTATGTGTTGTTGTTTTTGTAAAAGACCTATAGGCAGAACCACAACAGAGAATGTGCCCAGGTTTAACTTCTGGGTAAGAACAGGCAGAAAGATGTGGCAGTGAGGATGAGAAAATGGGGTTTCTGTGAGTGAACCTTGGGTACGAAAAACACTTCAACCTTGAGAGAGATGCTAGTACATCAGTACAAAATAGCCATCACATGAGATGCTTAACTGCAATCCAAAAAATGCTCATGATGCTCTTTCAGTCTTATGAGCCAATGAATGGGGCGCACTCAGTACATTTTGGGCATACACCAGCTTTCTTATGTAGATCAGCCTCCAGTAAAAAAAAAAGTTGTGATTCTCAACTGAAGCTGGATTTATACAATGCTAGTTGGTCAGGCACTTCTCCGTTATTGAAAGATGGGCCATGTAGTATTTTTCGGTCAGGAAACAGTTGCAGCAGTGATATGGAGAATGACAACTATTTATTGAATAAAACAACAACTGCCTAGTCAGTGTTAGTAGGTCTCTCCCAAGCCTAGGCTACAGCGAACTAACCTCCCAGGCTCTAGGCATATGACCAATATCCCCTGGCCAGAGTTCCTCTGGGAATTTGCTTTAAAGCAACAGTTCCATCTACAACAGGCTGGCTTTTGTGTCAGTCACAAATCCATCCCCCCAACTTCTCAGAGCAGTTTATAACATGTAAAAAAACAGTAAGCAACAATTACGTGAGCAGATAATGTATGTGTATGTTTTGGATTGCAGAATGGAGGAATCCGCCCACTTTAGTTTCAAATTTTTCCAGTTCAATTTGCCATATTTCCATACCAACATGCTATTTTCTTTTCAAACCCCTCATAAACGTTTATCAGTATTGTGCATTTTTCCTAATATGCACATTTCTGTAAGGAAGTTCCCTTAATATAATACGTTTTCATGAATATATGCCTTTTTATACACACTGTTCCCTGACATATGCATTTCTATAAATTTTGGGGTTTGGGGGTGGGGGCGTTCATACATACATCAACACATAACTGCAAATTTCAAACTGGCTGTGTTTCAGTTCACTCTTTTTCAGAAGTGCAGATTAGGTAGGTTCTCATTAAATGCAGATTGAACCAAATTCCTCCCCCATCCTTACTCATCACAAGCATGGGAGGAGGGGGTGAAATTAGATCCAAAAACTGTACAGGGGTCATTATTACAAGAGTAAAGGCTGGGAGTTGGTGGGAGAGAAAACCCCAAACTTACTCCAGTTCAAAGGTATTCTGTTACCAGCATGACTGACTGACTGACTGACTGTCCTTCCCTCCTTTCTAGTTAAGGGCAGCAAGATGAAGCTCTTCTAAACACCCCACAAACTTTGAACCCAAGGAGAGGTGCCCCCTATCCTGTAAATCCTCCTTCCAGAGGAAGGTAACTTAGCTTGATTCTTGGATGCCATTATGCTTCTCAGTGCCTGTTGCTGGCAATCACAAGTGAGGAGAGCAGTGTGGCATTCAGGTCCTACTTGTGGACTTCCTATAGATGCCTATTTGGCCACTGAGAGAACAGGATGCTAGACTAGATGGGCCTATGGACTGATGCAGGAATGGCCTGCTTATGTTCCCATAAGCCAAGAGGAACTAGACCCTAATGTATGGACATTAATTCTCTGCCTTTAATCACATCATTAAAACGGATATGCAGGATTATTCAAAAAGATATTTGGGAAGCTATTGAAGCCTTTTTTTGCCATTGAGCTTTTTCAATAAGTGTGTTATTTTTATACTCTGCCCTCCAATAATATATTGTGGTGTTCCCCTTCCCTTCCCTCTAGGGATATGGGATGCAGGGAGGAACACAGGTAAATGTTTTCACAGATTCAGGCAACATATAGAGGAATTACAGAAGCACTGGCTGCTCAGTCATATGCATAAGTTCAGTTAATTAATTCCAAGCAAAGTTCATGATTATTTATCAACAGTTCTTACCTGGAATCCCTGCTGAATCATTCATACATTTATGTATGATTTGAACAACCTTTACTGATTCACATTGAACCTTGAGGGCTTTTCAAACACTGAGGTCCAGAACATGATCAATCAATGAAGTGGTATACAATATTGCAACCTTATTTAATGAGACCAAGTTACATTAGTTGATGGGGAGAAAGAGCAAGTTATCAGAAGTGCAGGACGAAAATGATGTGGACTGAAACATTACTTAGGGATGGAGAGGCGGGATGGAGTTGCAAAGGGTCAGGGGCGTTTTTCTTCCCAAGGGTCAAATGTCTTTGTCAGGAAGCTTTCAGGGGTCACCTGCCGGTGGTGGACAGGGCAAAAGGCATAAGAACATAAGAAGTGCCTTCTTGGATCAGGCCAATGGCCCATCTAGTCCAGCATCCTGTTCCCACAGTGGCCACCCAGATGCCTGTAGGAAGCCTGCAAGTTGGACATTAGCACAACCGCGCTCTACTCACCTGCAGTTCCCAGCATCTGGTATTCAGAGGCGTACTGCCTCTGACAGTGGAAGTAGAGCACAGCCATTGTGGCTAGGAACTGTCCTCCATGAATTTGTCTAATCCTCTTTTAAAGCCACTCAAGTTGGTGGTTATCACTGCCTCCTGTGGGAGTGGGTTCCATAGTTTAACTATGTGCTGTGCAATGCAGCAAAGAACACAGAGACAAGTGGACAGAAAAAATGGTTTATGACTCTTATCTTTGGACAGTAGCCTCCACCCCAGCCACACAAAAGCCAGAACTTTTTGCACACGCAATTGTATCTTTCCATCCTCCATACAAGCAAGAGATGGAATTGTTACAGCTCAAGGACACATTCCAGCAGGGGTAATTGCATACTCCAGGAGGGTGCAGAGCAGGGCTTCTGAGAGGTGTGGTCTGAGGAGAGTCCCAAGGGTCAGACAGAGAGGCCTAGAGGGCTGCATTTGGCCTATACTTCCACAGTTCTGCCATAATGTAACAGGGAAGAAATTAAGATAAAGTCATGACTCCTGTATCTAGTAGTGATCTGGACACCAAAGCAGACAGACTATAGGGGCAACAGCTGGGGAGTTAGGTTTGGGTCAGGGCTCAGAGCTGAGTGCAGAAGCTGGAGAGACCATTGCACCTGAAGTGGTTGGACAAGAATTCTCAGAAGAACCTCCCAGATCACCATGGCCTATAAGGACAGAGCCTGCACCCTCATGGACACCTTTCCCTGAGCCTGAAGGACCAGGTGCTCACCACCGCCCAACACCAGTCTGGTAACACTGGGATGGGTGGTTCCCATGTCCCCATGATTTCTTCACTCTAAGTTGCTCTCACTGAGTTTCAAATGCGTATGTGCACTCAGTAAAGATCTAGGCAGCGTTATGAATCAGGCTTACAAATAAGTGCTCTGCCTGCTGTAGCCATCAAAAAGAAAAATAATGTTGTGACAATTAGGAAAGTTGCAGGGAGTAATTCATAAATCATCGTAATAGCTCTGCATAGGCTAATGACGCGTTTTATCTTCAGTAATGTATACAGTGTTGGTTCTCCCAATTCAAGGAGGAACGTTGTACCAAAGCAAGATGGTTCAGGGTTTGCAAAGTGGCACAGAGAAAACGTAAACAACCTTGGTAAGTTAATTCTGAATTATGGTGTGCTGCATTTAGGAAGCAATATGAAAATAGTGAATTCTTAAGCGCTGACTCTTAATTCTGACTTAATTAATGTTTCTGATTGTTTATTTCTCTTCATAATGAAGAGATTCTTTTACCAAAGAATAAACAACAATGCTCATAAAAGAATACATCAGCTTCTAAAAATAGCTACATTTTTCTAGTGAATACAAGCCATCTCTGTAGAACACAACGGGTTGCCTCTGCTTCTGTCAACATTGGAGTATTTTATTGTCTTTGCAATATAAGCTGGCATGTACTTATACATGACATTGAGACAGGAAGGTCACTGCTTGCTATAAAGCCACAGAGAAAGTCACAGAAGTCAAGACAGGAAGGAAAACCTCCGAGTGTTAAGGCTGACTTACATGAACAATTCCTGAGCTTCTGCATGTAGCTTGATGGCTGGGATTGTGTACATGTGCTGAAAACAATCACACCATGTTTAGGAAGTGTCAGTTTCCTGTATGGATCTCAACCCAAGATCAGAACCCCAACACTGCAACGTACAAATACTTTTTAAAAAGTGGGGGTATTAGAAATCTGTTGAAATACTGTTTGGCAAACCAGACCCAAGATGATGATGATTTATTAACTTTGTATACCGCCATTCATCTGAAGATCACAAGGCAGTCACATCATAAAAGTACAATATGAGAAGACAAAATACATAATAAAACAAAAATAAAACAATAACCCCCCAAGCACATTTAAAAGACCATAGAACCAACCAAGGGCCTAGTTATAAAGAAACATTTTCACCAGGTGCCAAAAGATATGTAATGAAAGCACTGGGAAAGCCTCCCTTGGGAGAAAACTTCACAAACAGTGAGCCTCTGGGCCTCTCATGGAAGAGGCAAACAAAAACAGGCCTCAGATGATGATCGCAGGGTCTGAGATTGTTCATATGGGAAGAGGCATTGTGGTCCTGAGCAATTTAAGGCTTTATAAGTAAAAACCAGCACTTCGAATTAGGCCCGGAAACTTATCGGAAGTCAGTGCAGTAAGACTAGGATCGGTGTAATATGCTCAAACTGTCATACCTTGGTGAGCAACCAGCCTCTGAATTCTGCACCAGCTGAAGTTCCAAAAACTGTCTTCAGAGTAGCCCTATGTATAACATGTTGCAGTAATCTAACCTCTGGGTTACCAGAGCAGACAACAGACGTTCAGCTATCCCTGTCCAGACAGGGGTGCAACTGAGCCACCAGCCAAAGCTGATGGAAGGCATTCTGTGCAACTGAGGCCAACTAAGCCTCAAACGATAGCAAAGGATTCAGAAGTAGCCTCAAACTACATACCCACTACTTCAGAGGGAGTGTAACCTTATCAAAAGCAGGCAACCTCATGTCTATCCAGTTGAGGGAACCACTCACTAACAGTGCTTCAGTCTTATCAGTTTCTCAACTCTCATCCAGTCCATTACTAAGGCAAGATAAGTCCAGCACATCCACTGCCTCACCAGCAGATGTAAATGATAAGAAGAGCTGTATGTCATCAGCATATTTCTGGCAAAGTACTCCAAAACTCCAGATAATCCCATCCAGCAGTTTCATTTAGATGTTAAACAGCACAGGATAAAACTGAGGAACCCCACATTGAAGGCTCCATGGGACCGAAGGTAACTCCCCAAGCACCACCCTCTGGACAGGACAATCCAAGTAAGACCAGAACCATCACAAAGCTGTGCCCCCACCCATAATTCAAGGCAACCATTCCAGAAGGATACTATGGTTGATGGTATCAAAAGTCACTGAGAGGTCAAGGAGAATTAACAGGGGAACATTTCCCCTCTCCCTCTCCCAGGAGAGGTCAGCATACAGGGCAAACAAAGCAGTTTCTGTGCCAAAACTGGGCCCAAACCCTGATTGAAATGGATCTAGAAAATCAGTTTCCTCCAAGAGGTCCTGGATCTGGTCTGTGACCAGTCGTGCAAGAACCATGCCCAAGAAAAGGGAAATTGACAACTGCTTGGTAATTCTTTAGATTTCCCTTCTCTAAAGACCACTGCACAAATATTAGGGACACTGGATCCATTAAAAGGAAAGACAAATTCACTATCATACTGGCCAAGTTTTCAAAAAGTAAATTAGAAATTCCTTATCAGAATCTCAGAATAAAACGTCTAAGTTGTTATTCTCCATTTTTTATGTACAGGGAGATATATATTTTTAAGGGGCATTAAATCGGCAAATATCACTTGTTGTTTATAATATTATTGTTCCCAAAAAGGCATACTTCATGGCTTCCCCAAATGTGTGTTTTGGCATTTAGCAGCCTCCCTGGAGAAGACTAACAGAAGAACCTATTGGCCTCTGCCATTAGCCTTTTCTGTCCAGAATTCTCCAAGGCCAAGGGGAAGTATCTGTGGCATCAAGAACTTCCTGTGTGGGATGCCTCCAAGAAAGTGAGTCACTTGGAAAAATCAATAAGGTCATTGCTGCCACAAATGTTTGGGCACGTAGCCAGTTCAGTGCCCTTTTACCACCAAGGGTAAATGGATAAATGGATAATGATGGGTTGGCATAAGCTGAGCAGGAAGGGGAAGAGGAAAGACTGGGTGACAGGCTCCCTCCCATTCTAAGAAGCAAATATTACCTGGGTAAGACACTATAGGTGCTTGCAGATTATTGAGTAGACAGTGTTAGCTATTTAAAGAGTATTTATTCTGCTTCGTTTGTGGGGGAGTTAGATTACATTGTGTCCAAGCAAGTGTTATCCCATACATCAAGTGTATTTTCCTGTCACTTTCCTTACTTCAAAAAATCCAGTTTTGGGGGAAGAGGGTTTGTTGCACATGACCGCCCAATCAACTATAATCATGAAACATGAATTTTCCAGTATTTGATTGAATATCTCCTGGAAATAGCAACTGTCTGGAAACATCATTGGTGCCTATTTAACAATACAACTAAGAATCTGTGTGGGGACCCCTGGTTTTCTTGTTTTATCTTCTGCTTTGTTTTTACAATCAAACAGTGTATAAATTCTATGAAATAAATAAATACATATATAAAAAAATAGAAATGCTCCCATATGGCAGCTCACTGGCACGGCCAAAGCACAAATGAATAAATACCCATAGACTAAGCAAAAGAAAAGCAGAGAGAAAGTGTGGAGCTTGTTGTCTAGGTGAAAAAGAAACACACATTTGTTGTATTGTGAAATTGCTTCAAGATGCTGCATAGGAAGTGATACATAAATAATAATAAAATAAAATAACGATGATGATGATGATGATGTTAGAAAGACAAGCTTTCCTGGCACCTAAAATGGAGTTTTGCCCTATGCCCTTTGAAAATGGAAGTAAATAATGTCAAGCTGACCACACCTTTGCAGCCATAGTCAATGTAAATCACAGGTTAATCTCAGTTCCATATGAGACTAATGGATTTGGGCAAGAACACTTTCTTTTAGCTAAGCAAGTTAATGCTTCACAGGTTTTTCAGCTGAAAGCCCATCTGGGATTGTTTGTGTAAAGAGATGAGATGCGTGGATAGTGCCAAAGATCAATACAGTGAGGAGGGAATTATCTGACAACTAACCAGCATATTGCTATTTTGTGCTTTTTTCCCCAGGGCTGCATATTTGTCTCTGCAATCTTTGGTGACATTATTTTTTTTCAAAAGCAAATTATCAGTAATCTCTGTGATGTAACCTATGTAATTCAGAGATTCATACATGTTGCATATATTATAGTGCACAGTGGGAAGTGGAATAAAAGACTTTCTTGTTCAATTGCATGATACTGTAAAGACTGGGACATAAAGGAAAAGTAAGCCGTAGTCTTCAGTGTAGCTATGCATGAACCTGCCATAAAACTGGGTCATCACAAGCAGTCCCCGCTTTGCTGACATTTCCTTTTAAAGTGCAAACTGAATGTAATACAATAATATGGTGCATGCTATGGAAAGGCATCAAATGCTTTCAGCTGAATTAAGCGTGTGTCTTTTCCCCTTTCTTCTCCTAGCAACATGCATCACAATACATACCACCATATTATTAAGTGTGGTGGTGGCCCCATCCCATAGCAAATGTGGTTGCCTTGCCTGGGATCACAGGGGTATATGTGTCAACGTGGTTTCTAAGAAATAAGTGAGAGAACAGTTGGAGGCAGAAATGCTTCTGAATACCACTTCCTGGAAACCATGGGAGGGAAGGGTGCTCTTGTGCTTATGCTCTGCTCCCTGGTTTCCCGCAGGCATCCAGCTGGCCACTGTGAGAACAGGATGCTGGAATAGATGGGCCATTGGTGTCATCCAGCAGGCTGTTATTACATTAACGTGGCTTTCACAACAAATTTTTCTTCAAGGGAAACTGTGAAATCATGTTGATTTATTTGCTTACATTTCCACCCTGCCTTTGTTCTACCACAGAGTTGAATGTGGTTCCCACCCAAGCAGAGATCAGACGCAAACCTCCTTAGCTTCGGCAAAGTGGTGGCCTCCCATGCCTTCAGACAATACCCTGGGACAAACACATGCCGATAAAGACTGCAGTCACATCATATAGAGAAAGTGATGTATGCAAGTTACAGTGAGCTCTGTTCACGGTTAGTTACTAAAAGTAGACCCCTCATGCAGTATGATGTCAGGGACTGGACTGAGGAGGAATGGTGGAGACTGCCTCCCCTTCCTCCTGAACCTTCCAGAGAAGAGGAAGACAGTATAGATTTACAACAGTGGTTTGCAGAAGGTCATGGCTCAGAGATAGAAGAGGGACAAAGCTGGGAAATAATGGAAGAAGAGGAGGCGGGGAGCAGAGCCAGAGCAGCTGGCTGACACGTTATCATTAGAAAGCATTCCAGACCCCGCTTCTCCCAGAACCTGGTGGACAGTGAAAGTGGGAGAGCAGAAAGCGAAGAGGCAAATGGCCTTAAGCAGCTACTGTAAGGGTGGTTGTGCTGTTGACGACTGAGAAGGGAGGGGGGGGAGATTACTTGGAGCAACTCCATTACCCAAAGAGGCGGCATTTCTAAGCCTCTCTCTGTGAACATTGAATAAAAGACATTGGTAAGAGGTTCTCGTCTATCTATGGCTGGCAGCCTGCTGTGAGGGGGAAGGTTGGCATTCCTTGAAGCCTGACATATACTGTAAATATCACAACAAACACTAACATAAAACACTAATAATGCAAAACACTATCCGATTTGCAGGCATCTAGTTGGGCACGGTGAAAACAAGATGCTGGCTTAGATGAGTCATTGGTCTAATGAAGATAGCTCTTCTTATTCTCTTCTTATATCAAATTTATTTCTGTTAGGTTGGATGGAGCCAGGGGTTTTCTTCTTCTGACAAAAGTAACCTCCTATAATGGAAGGAGCTACTTCTGTATATCAACCTTTGAAGTTGGGCAACTAGGTGGTTGACAATTCTCTCACAGCAGACCAAAGGGTTCCCCAGATCTGTGACTTCTGCTTACTCCCTAGTCTTATTAAAAGCAATGAAAATGAAAGAATTTATCTCTGCAACTTGTGCTGGAACAATGCAGAATATTTTGTTTCATTAGGTATGAAATATTCCATTAATTTGATGAGTTTATATCAGGCATAGGCAAACTCGGCCCTCCAGATGTTTTGGGACTACAACTCCCATGATCCCTAGCTAACAGGACCAGTGGTCAGGAATGATGGGAATTGTAGTCCCAAAACATCTGGAGGGCCGAGTTTACCTATGCCTGGTTTATATGTTGGGATACCTTTGTATATTACATGCTTCCTGTTTAGAGTTTAAGAGTTTATGACTCTGAGTAAACTGGGAAGCAGCTGTTCAAGGGGAAAACCCCTATTTAATGATAAGGTTAAAGGAGGATATAGGATATGAACTAGATACTCCCCCATTTATAATCTTCCAGTGGAAACCTCTCTCCAACAACCTTTGACTCATTATTGCACAAAGCCCCTAAGTCAATATTTTACTTTAACATCTCAAGTATGTTTTCCCACTTCACAAAATGTAGTGAAACCCATTGCTTGCTTTTGCTCTTTAAGTTAGCTGGACTGGAAAGAGGGTGCTAGGAAAACAATTGCTTTCTTATATTTCATTTTTCAATTATAACTTATTATATACCTTAAGCAGCAAGTGCAATCAGCTTTACATTTTATTTAGTGCCCCATTGCAATTATTTTATTTATTTAAATAAACTTTTTCATGTACTGTTTATTTTGCATTCTGCTTTTGCTGTTTTATCAGTTCTACATCATTTACTATTTATTTTGAGCGTGCATATTTACAATTGTGCACCATTTGTCAGTTTTGCTTAATATATATTTTAATTCGCTTTCTTTTTGGTTCAGTTCTGGCTCTTTGGTCCCTATTCATATGCTCACTGGAGCATATTACTATACTCTGAAATTAGAACTTGTTTTTCACTGAGGACCTAATTAAAAGGTAATACACACACACACACACACACCTGCCTTTCTTCCATCATGGAACTCAGTATGGTGTAAATTAGGTTCAAAGGTGATTTCCTACCTAGAACTGACCAGACTCAAACCTGGTTCCTTTAAGCAAGATAATTACATCTTGTACTATTGGACCCTTTCCTTGGGACCATGGTCCTGAAGGTGTGAAGTGATGCATTTGTTCATTAATTGATATGTAAACAACCCAAAGACATAGAAAATTCAAACAGAGAATACCTTAGAAACAAGATTATCTACCGCATGTGTATCCTAAATGAATACTAGATTTGGTGCATTAAAAATAAGCTAAACAAGGACAAATCTAGCCAATGGCCTTTTGTATAATTATTGTCCTCCTTGTCATTATTTTCAAACTCCATCAAAGCAGAGCATGCACTCTCACCATCTTACAAGCTTTGTCACTTTTATACAGCCAGAACTTCAAGTACTCTCAATTCTGTAATTATACCCCTTTTTATCACTGGCGAAGTGTTATATAAAAAGAATAAAATTGCTTCCTGGGAAATAGAATTTCTACTGAGAAGAACTCATTACAGGAGGCAGCAATTTTACTGAGCTTACAAATTACATATTATTGTTAAAGTCTATTTCAAATGACTTATTCAGAGAGCAAGAAAGATTGATTCAGAGAACATAAACACCCAAGGCTTACCCAGAGGTTGATGTCGTACATGGTTTCTTTTAAGGGCCTGTTTACATAATCGTTTATCCTGGGGTGGCTACCTCTGATGCACTTCAGTTTCTGACTTGTTTACATGCTCAAGTGGTGAATCAGAAGTGAGAGAGAGCAGAATTAGGGATTCTCGATTCACATTTCACCCTGGGATAACTTGCAACAACGGAATCGTCATTTCTAGCATACAGAGAGTGGGTGGAATGGGCTGCAGGGAGGATCACAGATCCAGGCACTCAGCTTTGTGAAGCAGGGGGTAAAAAAAAAAAAGACCCCTCCCCCCAAAGTGGGGCCTGAAGCAAAATGTTGCAGCATAGAGGGCTCTCATTCAGGTTTCCAGCCAGCTACAGTATCTTATGTCCTTTCCCAGGATACTGCATTCTATCCCCCTACGCCTGCTTCTTGGGAGAAAAGCAATGACAAACCTAGACAGCATCTTAAAAAGCAGAGACACCACTTTGCCAACCAAGGTCTGTATAGTTAAAGCTATGGTTTTTCCAATGGTGAGGTAAGGAAGTGAGAGCTGGACCATAAAGAAGGCTGATCGCCGAAGAATTGATGCTTTTGAATTATGGTGCTGGAGGAGACTCCTGAGAGTCCCATGGACTGCAAGAAGATCAAACCAATCCATTCTGAAGGAAATCAGCCCTGAGTGCTCACTGGAAGGACAGATCCTGAAGCTGAGGCTCCAATACTTTGGCCACCTCATGAGAAGAGAAGACTCCCTGGAAAAGACCTTGATGTTGGGAAAGATGGAGGGCACAAGGAGAAGGGGACGACAGAGGACAAGATGGTTGGACAGTGTTCTCAAAGCTACCAGCATGAGTTTGACCAAACTGCGGGAGGCAGTGGAAGACAGGAGTGCCTGGCGTGCTCTGGTCCATGGGGTCACAAAGAGTCAGTCACGACTAAATGACTAAACAACAACAACAACCCCAGTTTTCCTTTGGGGACGGTGGCAGAGCATCTTCTTTGCAGCAAAAGATCCTAGGTCCAATCTCTGACAACCCTAGGTAGGGCTGGGAGAGAACCCTGCCTGAAAGCTTGGAGAGTTGATGCCGATAAACGGAAACAGTAGTGAGCCAGATGGGCCAATGGTCTGACACAGCACATGGCAGCATCCTGTGTTTCTGTTCTCCCTCCCCAACAGTAAGATAGCATTCCATGTTCACTGAGTATGCTCACTCCTGACTGGACTGTTTGGGGGAAATCTGTCCCTTAGGGTTTCCCCGCCCCTAAATATTTTTTTTTGTACTTCTGCAAACTTTGGGGTTTCTCCTAACCTCTATTGGCACCTCAGTCTCCTTCCCCCTGCCAGCTGTATGTTCAATTAGGGACTGGGTCCAGGGCAGAGATGGTGGTCTGTGGGCCAGCCTAGGATGGGTCAGCCTGATTAGGGACCCCTGGCTCAGGGCCATGGGGCAGAATGGGGCAGCTATGCCCAGCCCAAATACAAATATGCATATTTTAGAGGGAAATGCAATTGGAAACCAATTCAAAAATGCATATTTTGGGGAAGAATGCATACAAAATGCCACAATATACTGGTATTAAAAA